TGTGAAAATGGTTTACACTTTCATGAACACTACAACAGTGAAAGAGGTGCCTTTTCAAACATCAAGTAAAACGCTACCATGCATGCTCACACTCAGTCGTGTCCGACTCTTTGTGACCCCATGTACTGTAGCCCACCAGGTTCCTCTGTCCACGGAATTCTCCACACAATACTGGAGTCAGTTGCCATGCCCTCCGCCAGGGGATATTCCTGACCCAGGGATCAAACCCACGTCTCCTGCTTGGCAAGTGGATTCTTTACCACTGAGTTACCTGGGAACGATCCCCCCTGCCTCCACCCCCACCAATGCTACTACATCACTCATTACTGCCCTCTGGATACAAATCCACACTCATTAAATAAGCCCTATGACCTGCTCACAGCCTGGCTCAGAATGATTTTTCAGTCTCATCTCCTACCTCTGCCTATTGGTCATACACCCTGGCCACACCAAACTTCTGCCTGCTCTCTAAACCCACCAGGCCTAGACAGTCCTTCACCCACTTCTCCACGGCACATTCCTACTCATCTTCCAAAACCAGTCACCACTTCTGTGAAGCTTCAAGGGAGAGTTAATCTTTGCACCTCTCACAGCACTGTGCCAACCTCCCTTACCTAGTGAAACAGACTACACTAACCACCAAATCCTCCCAGAAATAAAGCTACTTAAAAGCAGAGGCTCATTCATTTTGATCATCTGACTGATACCCACCACTTTTAAACAAGAACAAAATCACTGATGAATGCTAAGAAAAGCAAACAGACATCGTCCAAGCATTCTCTAATATAACCTGGAAATGTATATGTATGTGAAAACACATGATAGATCACAATGAATTCATCAACCACCAGATTAAATGGCGATTATCGCTCTGCAAAAGGATTCATTATTTTTACCAAAAATACTTACAATAAAGTCCCCGTTAAAAATAAACTCTTTGTAAAGTTACCCTTTTTATCCATTTTGTTACCTGACTTTTCAGAACCACTTTATTACAAACCTAGATACATTTCTGACTGGCACCAAGACTACCATGCAGTCCAAATAAGACAATCCAAAATTCAAACTTGAAAAGGCAACCTTGAGTAATTAAGTATCAAAATCATTCAAGAACCCCTTCAATCTAGTTTTAGATCTCCACATTTTCTGAAGCAAGTGTTTACTTTCCCACTCTGTCTATATTTTAGTCTATCTTTTGTGAAAGTCACTTTGTAAAAAGCTTCATTCAATCATCTCTTAACCAAATCACTTATGGAAGGTTTAAAGAACAACATGCAACAAAGTTAACATTTAGGAAGTTTTGGTTATTATCAGTTGTGTCAGAACGTGAGTCAGATATGTTCTAAAAACTCAAATACAATAGGACACAGACCTGACTTCATCTGTATAAAGTCTCTGTCAAGTTAAATGTGAGCTATACACAGAAACTGGGAATGTATGAATTTGAAATTCTAAGATACATCTTCCTTCATTTTAGTAGTTAACAGCAATACTGATAGCCACCATTTAATGAGCACCCACTAATCACCAGACATTTCAAGTAAATTCTCCCTGATCCATCCAAAAGCCCCTCGAAGAAATCTGAGCCTCAGACATTAAACGGCTGGCCAAGGCTACACAGGTAACAGGTTCGTGAGCGTGTGCTCAGTTGCTTCAGCTGTGTCTGACTCTTTTTAACCGTATGAGCGGTAACCCGCCAGGCTCCTCTTGTCCATGGGGTTCTCCTGGCAAGAATACTGGAGTGGGTTGCCCTGCCCTCCTCCAGGGATCTTCCCAACTCAGGAACTGAACTCGAGTCTCCTGCATCGCAGATGGATTCTTCATCCACTGAGTCAGGTAACAAGAAATGAGATTCAAATTCAAATCTGAATGGTTCCAAAGATTAAAACTTAATTCACTTTTTTGCTAACAATGTGTAATAATGACATATTAATCCAAATTTCTACAAGTCTCTTTGCTTCTTTGAACTGCTTAAGGATCAATGGTTTAATGTATTTCTGGTTCTCATCACCTTCTTAGCATGTAATAATCACTCTTTGAAGCATTACTAAGACTCTGCCTGAAGTCTATGCTTTTTGAATACAAAAATTAATACAGAAAACCTCAATTAAAATTACAGTCGGGAATGGCCTGTAGAGGGAGTTCTCAAACATTCTCACACCCCAGTACTTGCATGCAGTGACCTTCACTGACATGCCGCACTAAGCAGCACTCTGCACTCCCAAACAGAAAATGCAGCTACTTTACAGCTCCAAGGGAGGCATCTCTCCCGGCTCAGCAAGAGCCCGGACAGTGAGAAGCCTCTCAGCTCTATAAGTGAAAAGTCACCACCACCCTAAACTTTCCTCCCTCGGACTTTCATTGAGAACAGCCCCTCTCAACTCTCTCCTTTTCCCTATAGAAGTATGCTCCCTTTGTTTGGACTTACATGTGCGCGTGTGTGTGTGTGTGTGTGTGTGAAGTCACTTCAGTCATGTCCAACTGTTTGTGACCCTATGGACCACCAGGCTCCTCTGTCCATGGAATTCTCCAGGCAAAATTACTGGAGTGGGTTGCCATTTCCTTCTCTGGGGGATTTTCCCAACCCAGGGATTGAATCCGTGTCTCTTAAGTCTCCTGCACTGGCAGGCGGGTTCTTTATCACTAGCACCACCTGGGAAGCCCCTTGGACTTACCTACGGTTCACCACAGATTACATTTCCCAAACTGCAATTCCGTGCTGTTCCCGAATAAACCCATTTTATTGTTTTAGGTCAACAAGTTCTACTTTGATACTTCTATACAGTTAACTGTTTTGAATAGCACACAACAGTAACTTTTCCTTTCAGTGAAGTCTAGACAAATACCTTTTTGGAGAAGTTTCAGTACCATGTTACATAAAAGTACCAACTACTTTCTCTCAATGCTACTTAGAGGTAACCTCCATAGAGCTCAGCGTTTAGGTATTAATGGCTCTGAAACTAGCCTTAAAAATAAAGGAATGGATTAAAAGGGGCTCTCTAAATATTTGATTAAATACCAGGTGGTAACATCAATTTCAAGTATGAATTCCATGCTGGTGAAAGAAAAAAGAGTTTCAATTCAATAAAAATTTTGTTTCACCAGCTCTGCAAAATTTCACGGCTCATCTGCATTCTCTTAAAGCTTCTTCACTGATGGTACTTGTTTAGAAAGGATCAAGAGCCAAGTTTAATATAGGAATTATTTAATTATATCTGTTTAGGACAGTTGTATGTGGGTAGTTATTCTGCCATCAAAGTAATTAGCATTAAGATCAAAAGCTCCTTGCGTGAATCCAGAATACAAATTTGTTTGGATTTTATGTCATGGAACCACAGAAAGAATCCAGTAAGTCAACTTTAACTGAATTTATTTATGCCTGTCATTTCCTTTGGGGCAAATTCATTTTACAGACTGCTGGCAATGAGAGACTCAAAACTGGTCAGCTTTTATTGTTTGGTATTATTAACTCTTTAAGTGGTAGCCATAGAGCTGAAGCTAATTCAGCCATGTTGTTGGTTCAAAAGGGAACTTAATTACCTCAAGCCAAAGGCATTTATAAAATCAGTTGACAGGAAACAGATTAACTGCTATAACATTATAATGTTCCTGAAGCCAGAACTAGAAAACAAGATGAACTGTAATTAGAACAGCTCAAAAGCAAAGAGCTACCAGCTACTTTTTGTCCTTTTACTAAACTTGCAACAAAGTTTTATTTATTTTTAATTTTTCACTCACCCTCTTGTGCTATTTTATTATTAACATCAATGAAATCTGCAATAAGAATAGCTGTATATGTTCACAGAATTACACAGAGATGAAAGGAGACTCCAAAGACCATCTAATGCAACTAACTAACATCTAAAGAGTATGTTCCTTTTACTGTAACCCCACTAAGCAACCACTCCTGGAGAAGGAACAGCAACCCACTCTAGCATTTTTGCCTGAAAAATCCCACAGACAGAGGAGCCTGGTGGGCTACAGTTCGCAGAGTTCGACATGACTGAGTGACACACATACCCGCACCCGCAATAAGCAACCAATGGATGAAACATTTTCTATTAAAGCAGCCCACTCCATCTTCAGATGAATGCTGCACAGGGCTTTCACTCAGTAAATAAATCACTATCATTTCTACTTGGTTGTATCCTTAAAAATCACGAAAAGCAGATCTCTTTTCTTCATATGAAGTCCTTTGAACATCTAAAGAGAGTGATTTTCTCTACCTACTTCCCTTCTTTCAAATGTTCCTAACATGAAATGCTATTAAGTCCCATGTCTATGTTGGGCAAGCTTCAAAAAATTAAATTTATGTGCATATCTAAAGTTATTTTAATTTAAAAACATATAAAACTGTGAGTTACCTAAATATATTAGTTACCAGCTTTAAATGAGTTGATGCTCACAGAAAGCAAAATCTTATGTATATACTTATACAACTCAATAAATTCAGATACAAGACTGTTTTTATACTGTTTAAATAATTAATTGCCCTAATTGCCCCTAACGTATACCAGTGAAAAGTTCACATGAAAGACTACATGTTAACTAAAATTTTAATAAACATTTAACGTACTTTCTATAAAGTTTTAGAGCTTTGTTTTGTAGTTTACTTGAGTAACAGGATGAATTATGTAGTTTCAAATAACATAGATGGTGATCTCCCTTCCATAACTTTGACAACTTTCACCCGAAGTCATACAAATAAAAAAAACAAATAAAAAATTTTGCATTTTTTTAGCCTAAGCCAGAACCTGAACTTTAAAGGCATTTTAGTCATCTGATTTCTGAAGGTCCTGAGATGGACTACATTAATATATTTCAAGGTCTTCACTTTCAGTATCAGTAGAAGTTACCTTAAAACATTTTACATGTCCTTACCTTAAAAAGCAGTTCATTAAACTCTCAACTGAGTGCTGGATACACAGACTGTTTTGAAAGGCTGCTGCTGCTAAGTTACAATGATAAAATTATTAAACATTCATCCTACAGTCACTTACCCAAGACTCATGGTATAAAACTGTGAGTAGATACATTGCATAATCATAATTCTGTCTCCTTAAAGGGCACCTTTAAAAGTCAAAGAGAGGAAAGAAGTCAAAATGTGAAAAGTTCAGTATACGGAATAATTCGCAAGCATACAAATACTAAATACAAAGGATAACTTATATTTAGGAATTCCCTATCTGCCTTAGGAAAATTCTGTCCTTGGAATAAGAATTATCCATGCACTTTATGACTTGAAGACATTGAAAACTGATGCTATTTTTACTTTTATTTAGAGGATCTCTTCGCTTTCATTACTAACAAAGTTATTTACATATGATAGATAATAGCTTTACACTATTTTTAATATGATTGTGTCTAACCCAAGAGCCTTTCATGATCTCAGGGCTAAGAGTCTGAGATAATAGGATCTATCTGCTGTGTTTCTTTAAAGGATACAGAGAGACAGATGGTAATCTAGAAGTTCATCCTGATCTCCCTAGAGCTGATTCTTTTAAAAATGAGCTACACTACACAATGCTGTATTTTTATGCTGTCGTATTTAAAATGGAACTAATGGCCCAATATTAGATAAACTTCTACATGAATATGAGCTGGCATTAGGTTTCAGGCTACAAAAGTAAGAGAGACATGGAAGTAATTACTTCTAATTTCTTTCAATAAAAAATAAAACTATCATATGACAGTTGACTTTAATTGTACTCTGTTCATTCTGTATTTGATTTAATAGTCTTCTACATAGTTGTTACGGTAAAACATATTTATACACTGACACTTGTAAACTTAGGGAAAAAAGCAACATTATCAGAAACTTAAAGAATCTCTAACGGTAACATTTTAAAGGTATTTTTAAAAATTGCAAAAACTAAAAACACAATGCTATTTTATGTTCTCTGAAGCTATTAATGTATTAATTTTATTAATCAATAATTATTAATAATTATATTATTAATAATAGTGTATTAATGCATTAATATTTCAAATACATTTCTCCCTAAGCTTTTTCCACCCCCACAGTTGCTATCTCTGAATGTCAGGCTACTTCTCTATACCACTGAGAAGCAAGACATAAAACCTGATATGGCTGATTCATGCTGACATACGGCAGAAACCAACACAGTGTTGTAAAACAATTATCGTTCAATTAAAAATAAATTTAAAAAAACCTAATTGATACTGACACCTCCCAATGCTTTGAAACTAGGATAAGGAGGGAGAAAGGATATCTGCCATTTGCTTTGCTTTATATTTTGACCTAATTTAGAAACAATCAAAGTATAATTCTAGAAATAAAATAATCATTTAGCAAAAACATACCAATAACCTTGCTTTACCTCAAATGATCTAATTTATAAATTCATATACAATAAATTTAATATTGCTTTTACAAACTTCTATGCTAGCACTGAAACTGTGCTTATTTACAAAAGTGCCTTGACACATTAAATTTCCACATTTAATAATCTTGATTTTGAAATATAAGATTTCTATACTTTTGCAGAAAGCTGTTTAAGCATTAATCACTGGCAAATCATACTTCGTTTCCTTCTAACATCTCCCCTGAGTTTTACAGGCACAAATATATTAAAAATAACAATAATTTAACTCAGCTACACAAGCCTCTCCTTGAACACAAAGACCACATCAATAGGAGGCTGGTGTGAGGGTATTAAAATATGAATGAGACAACTTCTCTGACCTAACAGGTTAATATCAAGGACTGCCAGGGGACTGGAGGACAATAAAGCAACACCTGTGATGAATACACTGAACTTTTCCTTACCTGTCTGTCTTGATGGTAAGCACATCTGTGCGCTTGCAGTATCGATCTCCCACTAGTTTAATAAGTTTCTTCCTTGCATGATCATCTAAATTCAAACTAGAAAGTTTAACCTTAAAAACACACGAAAAAATTTTGAAAAAAATTATATACTTTAAATGAAAAAACAGTGGCAATATTATTTATACTAACATTAAAAAAGAAACCTTTTCAAACTCTTTTGTATACAGAGTTATCAATTCACAAGTATCATGAAGCCTGATCTTATTCAAAAGAAAAAAAAAATGGGAGCAAACTGGGAGTTCTTTGAAAGTTCTGGGCATAAGTACCTTTCCTAAAAGAATCAATGACATGTCTCTTGGATGAAATTATAGGGCTTATGAGTAGCAGTAACTAGTAGAATTCAACTCAATAAGTGTTAATAAAGCTGTTTTTAAGAAATGGAAGAAGTTTCTTAATAAAAAAATTAAAAATAAATGGATGAAACACATAGGCTTTAAGGACTTCTACCATGCAAGTATGAGACCTATATGACTGCAACAGTTTAGAGGCACTTATTTTAAGAGCTGCTGATATCTCAAGGAAGCCAGAATACAGCACCATGAAGGGTCAAAATATTTGAAATGATTCAGTTCAACATCTCTCAAAACGCTAATACTAGTCCCTCAAGCTGCTAAAAAGAATTTAAAAAGATTTACTTCTTTAAAAAGGCTCTCTCTATTGAATCTATTTAGAAAATGCTGAATTACATTGGGTTCTTCATGGCAGGATTTCTTAGACAAAGCAAAATGTTAAAGAGCATTCTGAAATTTCAAGAGGCAGGATGGTGATGCAATAATTTTCAAATTTATTCAATTTGCGATTCCAATTTTCAAGGGATAATTCATGAACTTAGTCTTCTTTAATACATATTTTGGGAAATGCTGAGCTAAATGAGCATACTTTTTTTAATTTGCAGAGAATTATGGCCTTGGCTGAAAGGTATTATCCAGAGATAAACAGACTTGATCCAGGAAAACAGGTTACAGGCTAGAATACAGTCAAGTGAGGTAAACTAAAGATTATCTTTCCATGAAGAACATTAAGAATATGCAAGAATTAAAACTATATGAAGTATAAGGCTAAATAAGATTTCGAAATCCCGCATATTTCTTCTTTCTAGCTTCAATAACCCAGCATTTCTCTCAAGACAACTGTAGCATAAGAGCTTATTTATTTTCCCATTTTTCCCACTGGACCACAAACCCCTGAGAGTAAGAACAATATCTGTCTTGTTCCTGGCAGTGCCCTGGCACCTAGAAAGCATGCCACGTGTATCCGCTAAACGAAATCATACATTTTAGAAAGGGAGGATATGCTGTTTCTTTGTTAAGCAGCACAGTGAATGTTTTTTATTTGGACTAGAGAAAATAGTAAAGAAATAAATATGAATGCAAAGACCGTTAGTAAGAACAATGACAATTAAATATTAATTCCAGAGGATGATCGTATGATGTAGGCAATGAGAAATTACTATTCTTCTGAAAAGAATTTATGTCAACAATCAGGTTATTAGTCTGAGGGATAAAATATTAGTTTTATGGTGACTCTGATGGCTAGCATTTTGGAGAATTACCTATAAGAAAACCAAAAATATACCTACCTTGTGACTATTATTATGAAAATATATGCATATATGCATGCAGACTTATATACAGTACAGAGAAAGAAACAGATTTTACATTCAGCTACTGAGAACATAGTGATTTTTTCCTTTTAAAACTCATTCAATAAAAATCAAGGTATTTAACAATAATTTTCAAAATTTACCATTTAAAAAAATTTGTGTTTCTAGTTTCTTATGTGAGAGAGTGAAAAACAAAAATTGTAGCAATACTGATCATTACTGTGACAACTGCTTTAAAACTCATGTTACATTAACATTTTAATGGTCAAAAGTTATATAGGGTCTTATGCCAGAAACTCTCAAATACTGCAGAAGCAGCTATGTGGTACACTCCCGCCACCTACTAGCACTCAAAGGCACTGCAAAATTGTAGTCTTTAACCTGGACTAAAACTCTTACTTTGAAGTTGAGTGACATTTATTCGTCATTCTTTTTCCAAAATTCAAAAGAATCCTTAGACTTTTTGTTTTTTACAAGTTACTATATTTTAAAGAGTCAGTTTTAAACTATTAACATTATGCTCCAAATAATGCTGACATTTCAAATCAGAGGTGGCTGCAGTAATAGGTGTGTATCTTCAAATGTCTCACTTAGAATGACATGAATTGAAAGAGGTCTAAATGTGTGAAATATTTTCTCTATTTACAATAATATGCAATTAGTTAAAGAACAATGGCATTAACACATAAGCCAAGAACTGAACTTCATGTCTAGATTTCTACTTATCAGATAAGTGACTTTAAACAAATCAGGTGATCTTCCTGTTTGTTTCCTCATTTATAAAACATAAAACAGAAAGGATTCACAGAAGTTTTGTCAGGAGTAAGTGAGATTAAATAGAAGAAAGCACTTTTAAAGTAAAATCCTACACAAATATGTTACTTTAAATTCTGAACTACTATGACTTATCACAAAACATGATACCAACTTTTCCTTCCCCGAATTTAAAAATCTGAGTATCTCTAAATAATATTTTACAATAATTGATTATCTTCACAATATTGCATTAAATTATGCTGGTCTACACATTTTAGTCTGTTTCACCTGCTTCTACCCTTGAACTACAATACCAGTCTGGACACTACCTCTGAGCCTCAACTATCAGCAGATGGAGTGCAAATAGTTCAGAAGGGCAGCCAGGAGTCAGGCAAGGGGTGTAAAGGATGGAGGAAGGTGTGGTGTGGTGGCATGAGAGAAGGAGCAGATGGGCAGGGATGGCCACATGATACAGTGAGTGGTATCTGCAGGCATACTTTAAATAAAGCACTGATTATTTTTATGTGAAACAAAATCAGCAGATTTAGAACCAGTAGGGACCTTATATGTATACTGTAGTACTTAAGACTAAGGCCTACAAAAATTAAACCCCAAAACATGAATTAGAATCTAAGTTTCCTGGAAATTCCCTGGCGGTCCAGAGGTGAGGACCCCACTGACTGCTGTGGGTCCAGGTTCGATCTCTGGTTGGGGAACTAAGACCCCAAAAGCCCCATGGTGCGGCCAGAAAAAAAGAATCTAGGTTTCTCTGGGTTCAGAGATTTTACCAGAACTCAAACATTGTTTTGTTGTTATTATTATTAAAAGAAGTAACATTTATTAAGCTCTTAAAAATGTATGAGGTATTATTAGTCTATAATAGACACTGTTAACCATTGGAATGGTATCAGCAAAGCAAAATTTTAAGTTCTTCTCCTGTTTTCCTTTGTTGATCTATGTTTCATAAAATGTATATAATAAATCTTTTGTAATTTTTATATTTTCAGAATCTCTAAATACATAATTATATTGCTAGGCACTTAATTATGGAATTTAGAAAAAAATGCTGTAAAGCTTCAAAAATTCATTTCATAACCCTGACACTGAAACTCAAAGAAAGAAAATTACAAGTCAGTTATGGCCATAATACTGAAAAAATTTCTAAAAACTAAAGTTTGTCTATTTGTTAGCATATAATGCAAAGATGGTTGCACAGATTTTCAGCATATTTTTGCAGTAAATTGGAGTCTTTCAATTTAAAATACAGATTACATGGAGTACAAGAACAAACTTTTAGTACTGGAAAGCCCCTCAAAAAGGTGGGCAGTCACCCTCCAGAATAGGTGAATCAAAAGTAAATTAGTAAGGGATCTCTGGACAAAGGGTTGATTCTAGGAATGGGACAGGAGTATCTAAAATGAACTAGGAGCATTTTGTGGTGTCAAGAAATGAAGATGTGTTTAAAACACAAATGATGGGGCATGGCCAAGGAACAGAGGGGCCAAGTGAGTAAGTGTCCAACTGTCAAAACCAGAACAATTTGAGCAACACAATGAAGTATTACTGGACCAAAATCCAAGGGATAAAATAAATATCCCTGAGTCCACACTGATATAAATACATGATTGAATAAATAAACAAATGGAGGAGAACAGACAAATTCCCCACATAGAAGAATTCCAAATAATCTATGTGATCCTTCTCCCTCAACGTGGTGGAGTATAACTTCCATAAATGTGGGCTATGCAGAGTGACTTCCTTCTAAAGGGTATACTATGGAAAGGAAGGAAAAAAAAAAAGAGTAATTTTAAAATGGAGAAAGATCTAAGCTGCACCACCAATGATGAGTCAAGTGAGCAACCTACACCCTTGCTCTGACACTATGAGAATGACACTTAGGTTGAGGCTTTTTTCCCCCAAACGCAGAACAGTCTAACCATGAGAAAAACATCAAACAAATTCAAACAAATAGAAACTGAAGGACATTCCACAAAATACATAACTGGTACTTCTCAAAACTGTCAAAGTCATCAAAAACAAGGAAATTCTGAGAAATAATCAGTCAAGAAGAGCCTAAGGAGACAAGATGACTAATACAATGTGGTACCCTGGATGGAATTCTGGGGGAAAAAAAAAGAACATTAGATAAAAACTAAGGAAATCTGAATAAAGTATGAACTTTTAGTTAACAGTGTATCAATAGTGATTCATTCATTAGTTGTAACAAATATACCAAAGTACCATAAGATATTAACAACAGGAGATATTTGGTGAGACATACAGCAAATGCTGTACTATCCTTGAAACCTCTCTGTAAATCTATAAAAGTAAAAGTTTAACTAAAAAAAAAAAAACTGTCCGTGACTGCTGTGTGAGAAAGATACATCACGAGCATCAAGAAACAAGGGTCCTGGAAACAAGGGTTTCCAATACTAACTTAGGAGTTATTAGGCCACACGTGGAACTGCACTGGCATCTGGCATGTTCCTGGTAAGTGAAGCAGGGCTTTGATGTTCCTCCAAAGTAACATGAGATAAAGACAAATGATCCTAAATAAAATATTAAAATAGCAAATCAGTCAGTGGTAAAGTAAAAGGATAATGTACCATAAACTGATCAGGACTCAGAAATGATTCAGTAATTGAAAATCTAGAAATATAATTTATTACTTTAAAAAATTCAAAGGAAATCACTCCAAAAATACTAGTAAACTAGGAACAGGATACATTGTTAACATAAATAGGGACTACTGTCTCAAATTGGGGTCCATTTCAGAGTTAAAGGCTAAACACTAGATAGAGGCATACACATTTTAGAGCAGCACAAGGGACTACATAAACATTTTAGAAACTAATGCAAAAGAAGAAAAAAAAAGATGTTAAAAATGAAAACTACCATTAATTATCATTTATTTCTTGAGAAATGACCCAAAGAATCAACTGAAAAGTCCTAGCATTCAGATTTTGGTCTCCAAACATCAATGTTCACTAAAATGTATCAGAGCTACTCATTCAGTTCAGTTCAGTTCAGTTGCTCAGTCGTGTCCGACTCTTTGCAACCCCATGAATCGCAGCATGCCAGGCCTCCATGTCCATCACCAACTTCCGGAGTCTACTCAAACACAGCTACGAGAGAAATAGCTAATTCCACGTCTGAGATACGAAATACACTATAAAAGGAGCCTGGGCCATCTTGTGTCAGAGGCAAGGAAATTTTCTAATGCTAATGGGATTGTAAAAAAAAAAAAAAAGGATATAGGAATCAGCTTAGACTCCTACTGGCCAAAGTTTTGGCCACACTTTGAATAGCAAAAAGAATACGATTTTATTTGATTAAAATTTGCTGAACATACCTGTCTACACTTACCTGTTCAAAGGAAATGGAAAATATAACCTCACATTAGAGAAAGATTATGCTGTCAGTCTCTTAACCACGTCATCTATCTCAGCATACTCAAAATATAGTAACCAGACTTTACGTGTCTTCTCATGGAATGCAATATAAAATACCTAGCAACATCTCTCAAATACTGTTGTCACAGTTAACTATAACATAATCAGCCCCTTAAATCTAACTTCCAGTTTATATGAAATACAGAAAAATAAGGTAAATGACATCAGGATGCATTGACAAACGCAGAAGGTAGGGAATGCTGCAGAATAAAATGCCTGTCTTTTTAACTTGTCTACATCATGGTGAGGGTGGCAGGTCGGCGAGTGGGAAAAGGAGTAGCAGGGTCCTTTGCTGTTCTAGATTTAAAAAGACGTAAGTAACATCACAGGCAAATGCAACTGTGTTTGACTGGATCCTGATTTAAACAACTCAAACGTCTACTGACTGTTAAGTGGATAAATAAAAGTGAAGTGAGAGTGTAACTGCTCGGTCATGTCTGATTCTTTGCAACCCCATGGACTGTAGCCCCCCCACCCCTGCCCCGCCCAGGCTCTTCTGTCCATGGAATTCTCCAGGCAAGAACACTGGAGTGGATTGCCACTTCCTTCTCCAGGGGATCTTCCTGACCCAGGGATCGAACCCAGTTCTCCTAGTATTGCAGGTGGAATCTTTTATCTGAGCCACCAGGGAAGCCCAAGTAGATTAAAAAAAAAAAAGTGGTATATCCATAAAATGAAATATTATTTGGCAATAAAAAGAAATGAAGAACTGATACACACTATAACAGATGAAACACTGAAAGCATTATACTAAGCAAAAGCATACATGTTATATGATTCATTTACATGAAATGTCAAGAATAGGCAAATCCACAAAGAAAGAAAGTTAAGATTAGTAGTTGATAGGAGCTTGGGGGAAGTAAAGAACACTGGAGAAAAGGGAGTGATTGATAATGGGCATGGGATTTCCTTTCTCCGGTGATGAAAATTTTTGGAGTTAAGTAGTGGTGATGGTTGCACATCTCTGTGACTATGCTAAAAACTACTGAGCAGTACACTTTAAAAGGATGAATTCTATAGTATGTGAATTATCTCAATAAAGCTCCTATTAAAAAGAAAAAATAAGTCTGTAAGAAATCAATACAGCCTCAAAATGGGCAAAGGAGCAAAAAGAAAAAAAAAGTATTTTACAAAGGAATAAACTTTCACCCTCTTTGAATTCAAAGACATACATATTTCAAATAAAATTCTTACCTATCAAGCTAATAGGCAATAATAATATCTAATCTGGTAAGAGTACAGGAAAATACAGGCTTTCTCACAATCTGCTGGTATTGTATTTGGAGGGATTTTATAGAATCAAAAAACTATCACAATATATATAAAAAATCCTTAAAAGATCTATATCCTTTGACCTGACTTCTCATTTTAGTAAGTTATTTGAGGAACATAATCAGGAATATATATAAATATTAATTTCTAAGAATATTCATTATATTTTTCTAATAAAGAAAACTGTTAGAAAGCCTAAATGTTATCAGTTTTATAGTCACACATACAAAATACTGTTATAAAATAAAGTGTTATAATAATTCTTATTTTTTAGAAAGTAACTCTTACCCTTAAGGTCACTACTCGTGCTTTGGGGTTTCGAATAGATGGTCCTGATGAAACATAATCAGCTGTGTCAATTTCAATTGGAAAATGCTTCTCACATTTCTCATCACTGTCTAATGCAGCTGGCCACTCAGTGCAAAAATCTGAGAATTAAAAAAAATTTTAATTGTACTTTTATAATTCTCATTAAAATATATATTACCAGACAAAATCAAATTATTGAGGGAGTTCACTTTTCAGGATACATGAAATGAAAGAACAGATTCTCTTCTGCACTTTATATAATCATCATCCCACATGCATTACTTTTCTTCCTAGGTGAATCCTAATTAGGGGATTTAATTAAGGGAATGATTCGGCTAGTTGAGGTTTGGTGGGGAGCAGTAAGTTAAAAGGGAACTATGACCTGATGGAAGCTTATTATAGCTTTGCACATGTCTGTTATGAGACAGTGCTAATTCCTGACCAACTAAAAGCAAAAACTTTCATACAGCCTGGAGCATTACTGTTTGTGAAATGGCAATAGGCAATACGAATTCACATCCAAACGAAGGTTATTAAAAATCAGTTGAAGAGGAAACGGAAGTGAGCCGCAGAGCCAGCTGACCATACAGAGTGAGAGTCTGTGTGCCGAGCAAGTTGAACATGAATGCCAGAGGACCTGGATCTCAGCTAAAGGACAGTATTCCAGTTACTGAGCGGTCAGCAAGTGGATCTTTTGAAAGTCATGATCTTCTTCGAAAAGGTTTCTCTTTGTGTGAAAAATGAACTTCTGCCCAGTCATCCTCTTGAATTATCAGAAAATTACCAGCTCAACCAAGATAAGATGAACTTCTCCACACTGAGAAACATTCAGGGTCTATTTGCGCCACTAAAGCTGCAGATGGAATTCGAGGCAGGGCAGCAGGTTCAGCGTCTTCCGTTTCTTCCAAGCTCAAACCTTTCACTGGATATTTTGAGGGGTAACGATGAGACTATTGGATTTGAAGATATTCTTAATGACCCATCACAAAGTGAACTAATAGGAGAACTGCATTTGATGGTTGAATATAAACATGGCTTACTGTAATGCCGTGTGCTGTTCCGGAAGTAGAGGAGTTGTGTCTTGTTTATAGTTGTCTTTTTCCTATAATTTGATGTGCACGACGTTAAAAGAACTGACACATGAAAAAAAAAAAATCAGTTGAAGGGAAGTGAAAGAAGCTCCGAAAAAGCTCTAAGAGGGAATTCCCAGGTGGTCCAGGGGATAGAACTCGGTGTCACGGCCCAGGTTCGGTTCCCGGTCAGGGAACTAACGTCCACCAAGCCATGTGGTGCAAGCTCTACCAGAGAACTGAGATGCTGTCAATCTTCTTTCAGAAATTGAGTCAACAGGCCCTCTAACTGTAAAGCCTCAGTCACCTTTAAATGATCCTTACAGTAATTCATGTTTCTCTTGACTTCTGAGCTCCTGGCACTAAATGCAAAGAGGAACAGACTTGTCCACATATTCACGCAAGACAGCCAGTCTGGGGAGAGTGGGTCTATGTCTGAGATCTGGGCTACAACCAGAAGTTCTAAGCCCGGAGAACACTGCTCATAGCACAGAGGTGCAAACTCAGGCCTCAAATGGGAAAAAAAAAATCTTTCAAGGAAATGAGAGAGCTCCCAGCCTTCTGTAGCTATCGGTATTATTAATACCGAGGCACTCCCTAGGTGGGCAGCTGATTTCATTTTGCCCCAGTCTATCAAGTTAGTACGGTAGAGGGCTCCCAGTCTGGGATGAAAACTTCTGACATTATCAGGTTCCCCTTAACAGAAATCCAATTTCCTAAACAACCTCTTCCTAAGAAGAGCTAAAATAGGTTTCTTAGATCAAGCACATGAGACCCCATGGACCATGCTTTCTCCAACAACATTTCCCCCGAGCTAACGGCTTTCTTATAGTAGACACTATATTTAGCTCCCGTTTAGACTTTAAAATCAGTCAGCAAAATGTCACTCCAGATTACAGAGACTTTCCAAGATCTGGGACTAAATATATGTTAGCAAATTAAGTATAGCTCACACCATTCCCTAAATACTGTGTTTAAGAGATCAATACTCAGACACTCTGAGGGGAAAGAAATAGCTTTGCCATTAAGAACATTTTGACATTTAAATAAAATGAACGGAGCAAAATTCCTGGGGTTAAACTGCATTCCCGTTATGGACTAATCCAAGTATCCTGTACTATAAGATGCAACAGTGCCAGGCACTTTATAAGACAGACTAGTTTGGGGAATTTTATGAGTTACTGAGTTTGTACTGACCTTTTTTTTAAACTTTGGATAAGTCATTTCAATCACCAGATGATAATTACAGTTTTTAAATTAAATTGCCCGATTATACGTTCAAAAAACCCCAGCCAACTGGAAAGTACATAATAGACCCCTCTCAACCTTTTATTCATCTGATAGGTAGAGCAACAGACGAATTTGGAAGACCTTGGTTTTTACTTAACTTCTGCCACTGATTATTAAAGTTTTGGTAAATTACCTAACTTTCCTGTGCTTCAAATTTTCCATTTGCAAGTCAGATACAAAATCTGAACTGACCTACTTTGAAAGAAAACTGAGAAGAAATACTTGAAAAGCCTTTTGAGTTATTCGGAAGATATGATCTAAATCTAGAAGCTGGCAAAAGTATAAAGGCAAAATTAAGGAAAGATTAAAACATTCACTTACTCCAACTAATAAAAATAAATGAAAAAAAATTCACTTAAATATTATAAAATATAATGCTACTCTTCTAAATGTACTGTATGAAACCCTTTTATTTAAAAACTATGAAATATTTTTGAACTATCTCATTACCAGTTTCTAAATTATAAATGCACATTTAAAAATAATGTTTAAAAAACAAAAAAAGTAGAGTTTATCACAGGGTAATATATTTGTTCTTCTGTGTATTCTTTCCATTTCATCTTGATCTCTTCAGCATCTACTAGGTCTCTACCATTTCTGTCCTTTATTGTGCCCATCTTTGGGTGTAAAGAGGGCTTCCCAGTGGCTCAGACAGTAAAGAATCTGCCTGCAATGCAGCAGACCTGGGTTTGATCCCTGGGTTGGTAAGATCTTCTGGAGAAGGGAATGGCAATCCCCTCCAGGATTCTGGTCTGGAGAAATCCATGGACAGAGGAGCATGGCAGGTTACAGTTCATGGGGTCACAGAGAGTTGGACATGACTGAGCGACTTTCACTTTTTCACTTTTGGGTGTAAAGAAGGCAGAGTGCCAAAGAATTGATGCCTTTGAACTGTGGTGCTAGAGAAGACTCCTGAAAGTCCCTTGGAGAGCAAGGAGATCAAACCAGCCAATCAAGGGAAATCAACTCTCAAAACCATTGGGAGGACTGATGCTGAAGCTGAAGCTCCAGCATTTTGGTTATCTGATGTGAAAAGCCGACTCACTGGAAAAGTCCTCAATGCTGGGGAAGATTAAGAACAGAAGGAGAAGAGAGTATCAGAGGATAAGATGGCTGGGTGGCATCACTGATGCAATGGACACAAACTTGGTCAAACTTCAGGAGATGGTGAGGGACAGGGAGGCCTGGTGTGCTGCAATCCACAGGGTCACAAAGAGTTGGACACGACTGGGCGACTGAACAACAATGCATTTGTTAACTGGCTTTGCAAAGGATCAAAAAATAACATATGATTTGTGTCATATGGGGCACAAATACGCACCAGTGATCTCTGTCAGTCTAACATTAGGCACCAACAAATAAAGAAACATACAATCTAAAGGGACAGAAGTTCATCCTAATGTCTCAAAACAGAAGACAACATAACTCAATGAAAATAGGAGAGATTTTTCTTCCCTCATTTCAAGTGTAAGGTTATTATTCCTGCTTTTTAGACCTCTTTTTATGATCTTTTCATTTTTCTTCCTTTTAATTGTCAACTGGAAGGCCCTTCCAGAAGCTCAAATTTCATCATAATCATGTTCACTAATTTATTTCTCCTATTAGCATAATCAGGCTACCTCTGAAGTTTCTGGTTTCATTTCCTTTTCTGAAAAGCCTTGATAGCTATACTGAGCATGTAGACATCACCTTCAGATGAACATGGGAGTCCTTGTATCTCAATAATCCATCTTCATTTCCTTTGGATATATATCAAGAAATAGGATTGCTGGATTATATAGTGTTCTAATTTTCATTTTTTTGAGGACTCTCCAGGCTGTTTTCCACAGTGGCTGCACCGATTAGCATTCCCACCAACTGTGCACAAGGGTCCTCTTCTCCACATCCTCATCAACACTGCCTTCCTGACAACAGTCACTTTGGTGCAGGGATTTTGAATTTTTTTTCCCCTGATGATTAGTGAAGTTCAGCATCTTTTCATGTACTTATCAGCCATTTGTAAATCTTCTTTGGAAAACTGATGTCTATTTAGTTCTACACATTTAAAATCAGATTTTTTTTTACTATTGAGTTATGAGTTCTTTACATATCTTGGCTATTAACCTCTTAACAGATACATGACTTGCAAATGTTTTCTACCATTCCACAGATTGCCTTTTCACTTCACTGATGGTTTCCTTTGCTGTGCAGAAGCTCTTCAGTTTGATGTAGTCCCACTTGTTTATTCTTACTTTTCTTGCCTTTGCTTTAGGTGTCAAATTCCTAAAAATCATTGCCAAGACCAACATCAAAGAGCTTACATGCAATGTTTTTCTCTAGTTTTATGGTTTCAGGTCTTATGTTCAAGTTTTTAATTCATATTCATTTCTGTGTATAGTACAAGGATGTGGTGAAGTTTCATTCTTTTACATGTGGCTGCCCAGTTTTCCCAACAACATTTACTGAAGAAACTATCCTTTCCGGATTAAGTGTTTTTGGTTCTTTTGTCACAAATTAACTAAACAAATACACAACTTTATTTTGGAATTCTGTCCTGTTCCATTGATCTATGTGTCTGTTTTTATGACAATACCATACTGTTTTGACTACTACTATTGCTCTGTAATATAGTTTGAGATCAGGATGTGTGATGGCTCCAGCTTTGTTCTTCTTTCTCAAAACTGCTTTGGCTATTTGGGGTCTTTTACAGTTCTGTACAAATTTTAGGAGTTTGTTCCGTGTCTGGGAAAAATACCTTCGGAATTTTGACAGAGATTGCATTGAATCGGTATATTGGTTTGGGTTTTATGGATGTTTTAACATTATTAATTCTTCCAATCCATATCTTGACACTTATCAGTGTCTTCTTCAATTTCTTTCATCATTATTAGTTTTCAGTATACAGATCTTTCACCCCCTTGGTTAAACGCATTCCTAAGTACTTTGTTCTTATTTTTATTATGTGTTCATATATATTTTACTTTTCTTTCTTCCAGTCTTGAGATATAATTGGCATATAGCACTGTATAAGTTTTAAATGCTTTTTTAAAAAGCTGGCTTAAAACCCAACATTAAAAAAACTAAAATCATGGCATCTGGTCTCATCACTTTATGGCAAATAGAAGGGGAAAAGGTGGAAGCAGTGATAGATTTCCTCTTTTAGGGCTCCAAAATCACTTTGGATGGTGACTGCAGCCATGAAATTAGAAGACACTTTGCTTCTTAGAAGGAAACTTATGACAAACCTAGACAGTGTATTAAAAGGCAAAGACATCACTTTGCTGGGTCCATATAGTCAAAGCAATGGTCTTTCAGAATTGAACCATAAAGAAGGCTGAGCGCCAAAGAATTGACGCTTTCGAATTGTGGTGCTGGAAAAGACTCTTGAGAGTCCCTTGGACAGTAAGGAGATCAAACCAGTCACTTGTAAAGGAAATCAACCCTGATTACTCATTGGAAGGACTGATGCTAAAGCTGAAACTCCAACACTTTAGCCACCCGATGAGAACAGCTGACTCAATAGAAAAGACGCTGGGAAAGATGGAAGGCAAAAGGAGAAGGCAGTGGAAGATGATGAGATGGTTGGATAGCATTACTAACTCAATGGACAAGAACTTGAGGAAACTTCAGGAGATAGTGAGGGACAGGGAAGCCTGGCGTGCTATAGCCCATGGGGTCACAAAGAGTCAGATACAGCTTAGGGGCTGAACAACTGCGCAATTTAAGGTACAGGGCATAATAATTTGAATTACATAAATTATGAAATGATTATCACAATAAATTTAATGACTATCCATCATCTCATATAAATACAAAATTAAATAAAGAGAAAAAACTTCTCCCTTGTGATAAGAACTCTTAGGATTTCTTCTCTTAAAAACTTTCATAGATAACATGTAGTAGTATTAATTATATTTATCATATTATAAATTATATCCTTAGTATTCAGTTACCTTGTAACTGGAAGTCTGCATCTTCTGACTGCCTTCATTCAATTCTTCCCACCCCCCCCCCCCCAGTACTTTATTCTTTTTGGTGCTATTGTAAATGATTTACTTAACTTCTCTTTCTTAATCTCCTTCTGAACTCCCACCTTCACTGCAGAAAATGAAACTGATTTTTGTATACTAACTGTATCCTGCAACTTTACTGAATCCATTTATTAATTTTAAGGTTTTTTTGGAGTCATTAGGATTTTATATCGGAGAAGGCAGTGGCACCCCACTCCAGTACTCTTGCCTGGAAAATTCCATGGATGGAGGAACCTGGTGGGCTGTAGTACATGGGGTCACTAAGAGTCGGACACGACTGAGCGACTTCACTTTCACTTCACTTTCACGCACTGGAAAAGGAAATGGCAACCCACTCCAGTATTCCTGCCTGGAGAATCCCAGGGATGGGGGAGCCTGTTGGGCTGCCGTCTATGGGGTTGCACAGAATCAGACACAACAGAAGCAACTTAGCAGCAGCAGCAACAAGATTTTATATGCATAAAATAATGTCATAAAAAAAAAATAACGTCATCAGCAAGTAACAACAATTTTCCTTCCTCCTTTCCTATGCCTTTTTTTCCTTCTTCTTGCCTAGCTGCTCTGGCTAGAATTTCCAGCACTATGTTGAATAAAAGGGGTGAAAGTGGGCATCCCTGTCTTGTCCTGATCTTAGAAGAAAAGCTTTTAGCTTTTCATTGCTGTACTATGATATTAGCTTTGAGCTTATTAAATGTGGCCTTTATTATGCTGAAGTCTGTTCCCTCTATACACACTGTGTTGAGTTTTCTCATGAAAGGATGCTGAATTCTATCAAATGCCTTTTCTGCATCTACTGAGAAGATCATATGATTTTTATCTTTCATTTTGTTAATGTGATATGTCACACTGATTTACTTGCAGGAGCTGCACCACCCTGTAGGATCCTTTTAATGTACTGTTGAATTTGGTTTGCTAATATTTTGTTGAGGAGTTTTGCATCTATGTTCATCAGGGATATTGGCCTGTATTATTTGCCTTTGTCCAGTTTTGGAATCAGGATAATGCTAAGTTTATGACTTTGGGTGTTCTCTTCTCTTACTTTTTTGGAAGTTTGAGAAGGATTGATATTAATTCTTTAAATATTTAGTAGAACAAACCAGTGAATTAGGATTTGGGATTAAGATATACACATGATTACATATAAATAACTAACAAAGACCTACTGTATAGCACAGAGAACTATACTATTTTTAAATAACCTATAAGGGAAAATAATCTATAAAAGTATACATAGATTTATATATATGTTTAATTGAATCACTTTGATGTACTGCTGAAATTAAGGAAGGAAACACTGTAAATCAACTATGATTCAATTAAAACAAAATCACCAATGAAGCCATCTGGAGTGACTCAATCTCCTTACTAGTAACTGGTCCATTCAGATTTTCTATGCGTGCTTCAGTCTTGGTACATTATATATTTGTAGGACTGTATTCATTTCTTCTAGGTTGTTCAATTTGTTGGCATAAAAGTGTTCACAGTAGTCTCAGATTCTTTGCATTTCTGTGATATCAGTTGTAACATCTCCTATTTCATTTTTAATTTTCAAGTTTCTCTTTTTCTTGCTAGATAAAGGTTTGTCTATATTGTTTATCTTTTCAAAAAACAAGTTCTTATTTATCTTTTCTGTTGTCCTGTCTTAATTTATTCCCATTCCAACCATTATACTTCCTTCCTTCTACTACCTGCGCGCTAAGTTTGTTCTTCTTTTTCTAGTTCCAAGTTAGGTGGCTTAGTTGATATTTTTCTTTATTCTTATGTAGGCTGTTATTGCTATAAAATTACTTCCTTGAACTGCTTTTGAGACATCCCATATCTCAATATATTTTTGGATGTCTCTTTGATTGCTTCTTTGAATCAGTATGTGTTTAGGGGCATGTTATTTAATCTCCAGATGTTCATGAATTTTCAATAGCTTTCTAGTTTCAAATTATTGTGGCTGGAAAAAATGTTTGATATGATTTCATTTCTTCTTAATTTCTTCTTAAATTTTACTAAGACTTATTTTATGGTCTAACATGTGATCTATCTTGACATCATGCTCCATGTGTACTTGAGAAGAATGTGTATTCTACTGCCGTTGAATGGAATGTTCTGTAAATGTCTGTTAAATTCATTTGGTCTCATGTGTGAGCTTAAACCCAATATCTCCTTACTGATTTTCCATCTGGATGATCTACCCATTGTTGAGGGTGGAGTACTGAAGCCTCCTACTATAACTGTATTGCTTTCCATTTCTTCCTTCAATTCTGTAAATATTTTCTATATGTTAAATGCTCCAATTTGTGATGCCAAATATTTACAAATTCTGTATCCTTTTGATAAACTTACCCTTTTATCACTGGAAATGAGATTCCTGTTAAATTAATAAAATATTAAGTTCATATTATAAAACAACCACATACCTTTAAGAGCTTCACAGTGCTTTTTAATTGCTACAGGAGTCAAATGCAGAAAATTGGGAATCTAAAATACAGAATTTTAAAGGATAAATTAGCTAAGTGTCTTTGTTTTCTGATTGGTTTTTTTTGGCCATGCCACGCACAGTGGGATCTTAGTTCCCCAACCAGGGACTGCACAAGGCCACAGCAGTGATAACATCAGGCCCTAACCACTGGATGGTCAGGGAATTCCTAAGTCTCTTAAAAACATGAAACACAATTTTCTCATAAAATTAAATCATAAGCCTCACAAACCTTGTAATAAATAAAATATATATATATTTTAACATACGGATTCCGTGTCACAGATGTTGTAAATTTAAGAAATGAATTTCCTGAAATGAAGATTCAGTACCACGTATCTTATAAGAATAATGGTAGAGAAAAAAACGTTATTTTTATAGCATTATTCCTGCCACAAATCTACAGGTGTACATATTTCCCTTATAAAACTGAAAACACTTAAAGACACAGACCATTGTTTAATAATCTTAATCCCCCTGGAACACATACCACTGCAAGACATTTTCTGTTTTATCCTTAACAGAGATTTTATGAATTGAATGGAATGAATAAACAAAGCAAGCAAATCTTAAATAAATAGTTAAATGAACTTGGGGATATGTTTACAATATATTGAGAGGTTCTCTATTTATAGGGCTAATGAAAACTTAGGTAAGGTCAGCGATTTGATTCCTTCAAATAAATAATTAACACTTCCTAGGCTATTTTTAAAATAATGTTAAGCATCTAAAGAGAAAATTTAGTTTAAAGAAACTTATTTCGACAGAAAATCTGAATAAGCAGAAAGTTCCTCCAAACACTGTGTCTGGAATCTTAAGCACCAATCAGGAAATGGTTATTTTAAACAAGAGAAAACAGACACCAAATAGTGGGATTATGGGGATGGGTGACTTCATTTTCTATACTTCTATTTTTGAAACGTGACTCAAAGTCATAAAAGGAAAAAAATAATAGTGAATGCTTACACAGCACTTATATTGGCACTGCTTTATGAACTCTGCATATATTACCTCATTTTACAAGCTTATCCATATAGCACTTACTGGAAACAGATCAGATCACTGGACTAAAGCATACAGGTGATTCTTGAAAGGGACAGCACGCATTAAATGTTCGGATTTTTATATTTATTAAAATTCCATTCACGACCACCATTACAACAGTATAAACATATTGTTATTCTCTCTCACAGTGATATTTTCCAAAGGTTTTTTTTCTTTAAACTAAGTTGAATTCTTCTCTTTCATTTGAAGAAAAGATTAGTTTTACAAGTGTTTGCTTTCTCTCTTGAAATGTTCCCTTGTCCAAATTTCATCTGCCTGTCCCCAGCAGCAGATGATTCCCTCTCCAAGTTACTATCTCATTTTTAAAAAAATTTTTGTTTACTATCTCATTTTTTTACCATCAGCTTTTAGCAAATTTTTGTTTTTCATGAAGTAGAAAATACAGTTTCTGTCATTTAGTAGAAAATACAATTCCTTGATGATAATTTCATTGCATGTAAAAGGAAACCATCTAAGACATGCATTCCCTGGTGATGGACATTTATATTTTAAGAAGTCTACTTTTCATAAATCACAAAAGGTGCTATCAACTCATTAGAGATGCATTTAACTGAAGCATTTAACATGACCTATTTTGCTTCATGAAATAAAGAAGTTTAAGGACCATAACAATAATAATAAATTAATTTTCTGGTTAAGTTTTTAAATCTTTTTTTTAAAGGTAAAAACTTCACATCCCCCCCCACCAATTCTCACTCTCATGTTATTTCATTTAGTTCTGCTTGAAAAACACAATATAGAAAATATACAATAGAAAAGAAAAAGTCCAAAGTAAGCTACAGGACCAATTAACTACCCATTCTTAAATGCCTAGAATTCTTTGAGCCATTTTTACCAAGGATAAGTAAAACATAGTATCCATTATTACCTGGAAAACAACTGAATTAAAATACAGTAAGCTGCTATGCACTGAACCTTGGAGTGTTGGGCGGGGAGGGGGGAGGTGTCAGAGGGAAATCAACATTTATTTAAATATGTTTCAGCCAATGAACCAGCAACTTATCCTACCTTTAAAAGTTCCAGATTTCCCTCCTTAGCCATGGGCACTCCCCTTTTTACTGGATAACCCATTCGAATAGGAAGAGGTACTGCAGAGGGTTTAAACGGAGCTGCAACAGGGTAAACACTAGGCCAGTCCTGGTCAACAGACATTTTCTCTGTCCTGGGAGGTAGTGCCTGAAGAATGTAAAACAGTTTAATATTTTAAATATAAACATGAACTTTAATTTTAAAGGAAAAAAGGTACAATTAAGAGAAACACAAGGACTTGCAATCTATATAAAATCTGACCTCCCATAACAGCTACTGTTGAAATTTTAAAAACCCCAAAAAACAAACCTACCTAAATATCCTTGAACCTACCTATATATCTTTGAGGGTTTCCTCAAACCCTGTGGAAAGGAACCCTTTAATAGCACATTTCCTTTACAAAAAAATTTCTCTTACTTACTGAGTCTTTTAGCAAACTTTCAGCATATTGTTTATGAAGGGGTCAGTAACGGTATATTTTGAATAATTTTTAAAACTTCAATGAAAGTCAGTACATGAGATGACAATGAGGATTAGAAATAAGGAAAACAAGAAATAATAAAAATAAAGAATAAGAATTCAGAAATAAATTAAGATTAAACTATCTGAATAGACCACAATGAGAAATGTCTTCCATGCGCAGAGAATAGCTACATTGATAACTTAGTCAATCACATAAACATTTATTTTATTTTTTAAACTGTATTTGACAGATGGGGATGGCCTGCATTCCCTTTAAACCCAAAAGGAAGGTTCGAAGATGCAAAACTAGGCAACAGCCTTCTAAGCAACAGATCAGTGTAGCACATGTCCTGGAAGCAGTTAGTACTCCTGAGAAAATGAGTACTCTATGTGATTATAAATGGTGCCACTTCAGTTTAGTTCAGTTCAGTCTCTGTCGTGTCCGACTATTTGCGACCCCATGGACTGCAGCACGCCAGGCCTCCCTGTCCATCACCAACTCTCGGAGTCTACTTAAACTCATCTCCATTGAGTCGGTGATGTGCCATTCAACCATCTCATCCCCTGTCGTCCCCTCCTCCTCCTGCCTTCAGTCTTTCCCGGCATCAGGGTCTTTTCAAGTGAGTCAGCCCTTTGCATCAGGTGGCCAAAGTATTGGGAGTTTCAGCTTCAACACCAGTCCCTCCAATGAACACTCAGGACCAATCTCCTTTAGGATGGACTGGTTGGATCTCCCTGCTGTCCAGGGACTTTCAAGAGTCTTCTCCAACACCACAGCTCAAAAGCATCAATTCTTTGGCGCTCAGCTTTCTTTACAGTCCAACTCTCACATCCATACATGACTACTGGAAAAACCATAGCTTTGACTAGATGGACCTTTGTTGGCAAAGTAATGTCTCTGCTTTTTAATATGGTGTCTAGGTTGGTCATAACTTTCAAGGAACAAGCATCTTTTAATTTCATGGTTGCAGTCACCATCTGCAGTGATTTTAGAACCCCCAAAAATAAAGTATTTCCCCATCTATTTGCCATGGAGTGATGGGACCAGATGCCAGGATCTTAAGTTTTCTGAATGCTGAATTTTAAGCCAACTCTTTCACTCTCCTCTTTCACTTTCACCAAGAGGCTCTTTAGTTCTTCACTTTCTGCCATAAGGGTGGTGTCATCTGCATATCTGAGGTTACTGATAATTCTCCCAGCAATCTTGATTCCAGCTTGTGCTTCATCCCTCCCAGCGTTTCTCATGATGTACTCAGCATATAAGTTAAATAAGCAGGGTGACAACATACAGCCTTGACGTACTCGTTTTCCTATTTTGAACCAGTCTGTTGTTCTGTGTCCAGTTCTAACAGTTGCTTCCTGACCTGCATACAGATTTCTCAAGAGGCAGGTCGTGGTCTGATATTCCCATCTCTTTCAGAATTTTCCAGTTTGTGGTGATCCATATAGTCGAAGGCTTTGGCATAGTCAATAAAGCAGAAACAGATGTTTTCTGCAATTCTCTTGCTTTTTCGATGATCTAGCGGATGTTGGCAATTTAATCTCTGGTTTCTCTGTCTTTTCTAAAACCAGCTTGAACATCTGGAAGTTCACAGCCCACGTATTGCTGAAGCCTGGCTTGGAGAATTTTGAGCATTACTTCACTAGCGTGTGAGATGAGTGCAACTGTGCAGTAGTCTGAGCATTCTTTGGGACTGCCTTTCTTTGGGATTGGAATGAAAACTGACCTTTTCCAGTCCTGTGACCACTGCTGAGTTTTCCAAATTTGGTGTCATTTAACTTCTAACTAATGTGCCTTTGTTCTGAATCCACATTTATGAAGGGACCTTATAATCTGGATTCCTCCATGAAGATGCCCACAGGGTGAGACCAAACTGGTTAGATGAACGAATATGTCCCAGGCTGCCTGACTGTTCAAGGCATCACCAAAAATAATTTTTTATTCTGGTTTATATATCTATTTCCTGGGAGTAAGTGAGTGAGTCTGCCTCTCAAAAGATGATCCATCCTCAGAGAACTGACAAAACCAATCAAAGACTAGGGACAGGGCTTTGAGGGTCACCCAGTGCACATGCCCTTTCGAAGCCTGCTCGTGTGGCACCCTCTACCTCATAATGAGGATCTGCCTTACTTTAGATTAGAAACCCACATGACAGTCTACACCAGAGCACGTTAACTGCTTACCTTTCTTCTCAGCGGCCTTTCATGTTTGGAGGGTCTTTCTGTTGTAGCTAAAAGACAACACAACAGTTGCAGAGAATTGTATTAGTAAGGAGCTGTTCCACATTGTTCATGATCCCACAACTCTCACATAATTTATTTAGTAATATAAAAATGAGACAACAATCCATTTTCTGTAAGTTCAGAGACTGAATCATTTTAATGCAAATGAAAAGTCAGAAATACGTTAAGAAAATTCAAGAGTTACTTGAAAATATACTGTGATTGACAACACATGTGCTTATTTGCTCAGTCATGTCCAACTCTCTGTGACCCCATGGACTGCAGCCCTCCAGGCTCCTCTGCCCATGGGGATTCTCCAGGCAAGAACACTGGAGAGGGCTACCATTCCCTTCTCCAGGGGATCTTCCTGACCCAGGGACTGAACCCAGGTCTCTCGCATTATGGGTGGATTCTTTACAGACTGAGCCACCAGGATGATGAGATATAGTTAGCTCATCAACTAAAGATATAATTTTAATAACTTTTAGGGTTGTCAAATACACTCATTTCCCCAAGTTGAAATATCCAGTTAGAAATAAGTATTTTGCATCTTTAAAGACAACTGGTTTGAAATGTTCTAACATATATTTGCGCATATCTGGTATTATTCTGTTCTTCACGCACACACACAAAATAACCTTCAGTTTCCTGTCTCTATTGTTAATTAGAACTGCCAATGCTATAATAACATCAACAATAACAAAAATTATAGTTATTCCTAATAAATCACATAACTGTACAAGATAAATTACTTACATATAGTATCTTTTAAAATATTAACTTATGTCTCTCTAAATTAATGTTTTGCTATATTAAAATAATATGAAATAATTATATTCAGTACTTTCACACATCCAGACACTGAGCTAAATGCTTTTCATTATCTTATTTAATCTTGTTCTTCACAGTAACTACAAGCATGAAATATATCATCCTTATTTAGGGGTCATTTAGCCAAGAAAACTAAAGACAAGGAGTTAGGATGATCACAGTTCAGCACAAAAGGCTTCACACTCTGAACTACTGTCTCCAGCTTCACTTAATTTCACAAAGCCCTAGGCTACACTGGACTTTCAGTACCAGGCCCCTGAGCTGTCCTCTGAACTTTCTGTTCTCTCTGCCTAGAATGTGTCTCCCTTTCATCTGCCTGGCTGCTGTCCTCTACCCCCTCTCCGCCTCATTTCTTGATCTGATAAATTCTTATTCACCCCTCAACAGTAATTCACTGATTCATTAAAAAGTTGTTTGAGTGATACTGTGTACCAGCAACTCAAAAGGCAGCCAAGAACAACAGACACACAGTCCTTGCTCTTACTGAATGCGGTCAGTCAAGTAAGATAACTATTTAGCAAGAAATTTCAATAAACAGTGATAAATATTAATGTGAACATATAGCAGGGGACCCAACTTAAGTCAATTAATTGGGGAAAATATCCCTGAAGTGTACTTTCAGCTAAAACCTTAAAGATGAGCTGGAGGCAGCCAGGGGAACAGGCAAGTAAGAACAAATGTTCTAGAGTGAAAGAGAAGATGGAAAATCAAAGTAAACAAGTTCAAAATGGCTGAAATTTAAGAGTAGGGCATAAAGAGCACCCAGAAGAGTGGTATTCAGTATGTCAGAGATACGGACTTTCCTGATGGTCCAGTCGCTAAGATTCTGCACTCAAAACGCAGGGGGCCTGTGTTCCAGCCCTGGTCAGGGAACTAGATCTCACATGCCTCAACTACGAGCCAGCGCAGCTAGATAAATAAATTTTAGAAAATTTTAAATGAAAGGTCAGAGATACATTCAATAGGCATCTCAACTAAAACAGACCATAGACAGAGCTCTTGATTTCTTTCTTCAGTTTCCTCAGTTCCTGTAAACAGTATCACCATTCATCGATTGCTCAAAAATCTAACATGCTTCCTTGAGACTTCCTCAAGGCCCCATATCAAATCCATCAGGGAGTCATGTTAGTGCTACCTTCAAAATATATCCCAAATCCAACCACACCAGCATCTCCACTGTTAGGTCAATCCAAGTCACTACCATCTCATTTGAAGCATTACAACAGCTTTCAAACTGGTCTCCCAGCTCCCACTCTTACACCAAGCTCGCCAAACAGCAGTCAGCGATCTTTCAAAAGTATAAATCACATTACACACTTCCTGTTCAAAACCTACCAATGTGATTCCAAACTTGTTTATAATAAAATCCAAGCCAAATGCCTACAAGCCTTACCAGATCGGGTCATTATGTATCTTTCTGACATCTTTTACTTCTCTTTACTCACTTTAGCTCCAGCCGCATTGGTCTTCTTTCTGTTTCTTGGTCACACCCGTAACCTCGTTCTACTTTTGAGCTTCTGTCCCTTCAGCTCCCTATACCAACAGGCTCTTCCCACGATGCTCAAGCAGCACTTCCTTAGGCAGTTCTTTCCTGACTATCAGATCCTGTCTTGCCTGACAGCCTCTATTCCCCCAATCTGTTCTTCTCAAGACCCTATTTTATTTTTCTTCATAGCATCTGACATTGTTTACCTATTTATAATCTGATTTCCTACCAAGAATGTAAACTTCATGAGATAAAGGAGTTGTTTTTATTTTTAGTATTATTCATTCATTTATTTATTTCTGGCTGCCCTAGGTCTTCAGTGTTGGGCAGGCTTTTCTCTAGTTGCAGCGAAGGAAGGCTTCTCGTTGCCGAAGGTGGCTTCTCCTGTCGTGGAGCACAGGCACTGTGGTCTTCGGGTTTCAGTAGTTGCGACACCCGGACTCTAGGGTACAGGCTCACTAGTGGTGCACTGGTTTACTTGCTCTGCTGCATGTGAGATCTTCCCTAACCAGGGATCAAACCCTTTCTTCCTGCATTGGGAGGTGGATTCTTAACCAATGGACCACCAGGGGAGTCCGAAGGGCCCTGCTATATTCCAGTATCTACAACGCTACCTAGCACACAGTAGGAGTTAAGTATTTGCAGAATGAACAGATGAACGAATGATTAAAAAGTGTTAAGACTACTAAGTGCTATGATGATGCATTAAGGAATTTACCGTTTATCTCAAAGCAATGAAAAATCTTTTCTGTATTTTGAACATGGGAGTGGCAAGTTAAGATTCGCTTTTTTGCACACTTCACTCTGGCTGTTGTGAGAATCCAATGTAGGACAGCAAGAGCAGAAATAGAGACCAGCAAAGAAACTATGACAGAAGGGAGATATGGTGGCCTAAACTGGACAGTGAGAAGTATGAATATTAGAAATATTACAGAAAATAGCACGGATAAGACAAGACGAATGGCTGGCAACGGTCCCTCAACAGAGCTTTTTTGGCTCTTGAGGGTTCCTGCTTGGTGTTCCCATCCTCATACTGTATTCACGCTTCTACTAACAGCACCTCACACTGCCCAGTACTCCCACCTAGTCTACTCACAACTAGACTTTTCCACTAAATTCCTCCAAGGCAAGAACGGTATCGGGCAGCGCTAAAATCTCTCTTTAATGAAGGTCACCTCAGTAACGCCTATTGAATGAAGGTCAACCCCCTTTGGCGACATAGCTTGTTCCAGGCCATTTCTGTAGCTCTCTTAAACGTCGGGAACATCTGTGTTTCAGCATCACCCAACAAATATTACGAGAACCAGCAACCAGAGAGACTTGTGCTGCTGGCCCTGCGAAAGACGACCAGAAAGCGCAGGTCACGCAGAAGGCGGGGGAGCAAGCCCCCGGCGCCCCGGGGACCAGACACAGAAGCTGACTGCCAGGACCCAGGCGACACTCCGCGCAGGGGGCACACCTAGGCCCGCGGCTTTCCTGTAGACGGACCCGTGGCCGGCTACGGAGGACGTACTGGCATCCCCAGGGTGGCTCCGGCTCTGCCGCCGCAGCCGCCATCACGCGCCTGTACTCCACCCGCTCACAGCCCCCAAAGCCTGGAGGCGGCGCGGCAGACACTCACGCGGGCTTAGTCTCGGAGCGCCAGTGACAGGAGACACAGCGGTGGAAAAGGCACGAAGGGTCCCGGCTCGCGTCTGCAGAGCCAACCACGCAGGGAGCGAGAGGGCCGCCATTGCGGCGAAGACGGCGAGCGGGAAGGGACAAGCGCGGCTCCGGGTCAAGGGGCGGGGCTGAGGGCCCACTGCGCGGGCCGGCGGGCCTGGCCCCGCCCCGGGAAGGGGGAAACAGGAAGCACGTGGGCCTCCAAATGCAGAGCCAGCTAACTGTGCAAGAAAATACTCCCTGCGTAGAAAAAGGAATCGAAAGAAAACAAAAAGATTTGTTAAAAAATCGAAGCTGTCAGTCCAAAGACAGTTGCAAAGGACCATAAGGGATGGGAGAAATGTGGCTTATTGGCGGGCAGGTGAAGGCGGAATCTCAGATGGCCTGGGAGTCCGCAGTACCCTAAGGCCCTGCTTCTTTGCAGTTGCTGCTTTTCTGCAGTTTCTTGAATTAAAGGAAGTCTTCAGCTAATGCAAGTAATGCGCTTTAAGGAGAGAGGCAGTATCCAATAATAAGTAAAAGGATGGCTTCTTGAGCCAGACTACTTAAGTACAGTTCAGTCTCTCCCTGGTATCCAATTCTTTGTGACCCCATGGGCTGCATGATGCCAGGCTTCCCTGTCCATCATCAGTTCCCGGAGTTTACTCAGACTCATGTCTGTTGAGTCAGTGATCCCATCCAACCATCTCATCCACTGTCCTCCCCTTCTCCTCCTGCTTTCAGTCTTTCCCAGCATCAGGGTCTTTTTAAATGAGTCAGTTCTTTGCACCAGGTGGCCAGAATATTGAAGTTTCAGGTTCAACATCAGTCCTTCTGTTAGGGGAAGCACACTGATTGAAACCGCCCACCCTGGCCAGGCACCATAGTAACCAGTTCCATGAGTTTTTTTATGACAGGAGATCCTGATAAGGAATATGGAACTAATAAGCCACCACCAACCAGAAGAGTTCAGGAAAGGTTGAAAGGAGACACTGCATGTCCATCCACTTCCCAGAATCCCTCTCACTAGCATCCATCTTGGCTGAGTGATGGGTGCGCCATCAGGAGAGACTCTGAATTAGAATGATTGGCCAAAGACCACCCGGAAACTAATCCCATCACCATAAAACCCAAGACTGCGAGCCACATGGCAGAGCAGTTCTCCTGGGTTCCCTTACCCTCCTGCTCTCCACCCGGGTGCCCTTTCCCAACAAAATCTCTTGCTTTGTCAGCACATGTGTCTCCTCGGACAATTCACTTCTGAGTGTTAGACAAGAGCCCAGTTTCGGGCCCTGGAAGGGAGTTCCCTTTCCTGCAACACTCCCAATGAATAGTCAGAACTGATTTCCTTTAGGGTGGACTAGTTGGATCTCCTTGCAGGCCAAGGGACTCTCAAGAGTCTTCTCCAACACCACAGTTCAAAAGCATCAGTTCTTCAGCGCTCAGCTTTCTTCACAGTGCAACTGTCACAGCCATACATGACCACTGGAAAAACCATGGCCTTGACTAGACGGATATTTGTTGGCAAAGAAATGTCTCTGCTTTTTAATTAGCTGTCTAGGTTGGTCATAGATTTTCTTCCAAGGTGCAAGGATCTTTTAATTTCATGGCTGCAGTTACCATCTGCAGTGATTTTTGGAGCCCCTAAAAATAAAGTCTGACACTGTTTCCACTGTTTCCTCATCTATTTGCCATGAAGTGATGGGACCAGATGCCAGGATCTTAGTTGAGTTTTAACCTAAGTTTTTCACTCTCCTCTTTCACTATCATCAAGAGGCTCTTAAGTGCTTCTTCACTTTCTGCCATAAAGGTGGTGTCATCTGCATATCTGAGGTTATTGATATTTCTCCCTGCAATCTTGATTCCAGCTTGTGCTTCATCCAGCCCAGCATTTCTCATGATGTACTCTGCACATAAGTTAAATAAGCAGGGTGACAACATACAGCCTTGACGTACTCGTTTCCAGACTTGGAACCAGTCTGCTGTTCCATGTCCAGTTCTAACCGTTGCTTCTTGACTTACACACAGATTTCTCAGGAGGTAGGTCGGGGGTCTGGTATTCCCATCTCTTTCAGAGTTTTCCACAGTTTATTGTGATCCACACAGTTAAAGGCTTTGGCATAGTCAATAAAGCAGAAATAGATGTTTTTCTGGAACTCTCTTTCTTTTTCTATGATCCAGCAGATGTTGGCAATTTGATCTCTACTTCCTCTGCCTTCTCTAAATCCAGCTTGAACATCTGGAAGTTCACAGTTCACCTACTATTGAAGCCTGGCTTGGAGAATTTTGAGCATTACTTTACTAGCATGTGAGATGAGTGCAATTGTTCAGTAGTTTGAGCATTCTTTGGCATTGCCTTTCTTTGGGATTGGAATGAAAACTGACCTCTTTCAGTCCTGTGGTCACTGCTGAGTTTTCCAAATTAGCTGGCATATTGAGTGCAGCACTTTCACAGCATCATCTTTTAGGATATTAAATAGCTCTACTGGAATTCATCACCTCCACTAGCTTTGTTCCTAGTGATGCTTCCTAAGGCCCACTTGACTTCACATTCCAGGATGTCTGGCTCTAGGGAAGTGATCACACCATCGTGATTATCTGGGTCGTGAAGATCTTTTCTGTTTAGTTCTTCTGTGTATTCTTTTCACCTCTTCTTAATATCTTCTGCTTGTTAGGTCCATACCATTTCTGTCCTTTATTGTGCTCATCTTTGCATGAAAAGTTCCCTTTGTATCTCTAATTTTCATGATGAGATCTCTAGTCTTTCCCATTCTATTGTTTTCCTCTATTTCTTTCAATTGGTCACTGAGGAAGGCTTTCTTATCTCTCCTTGCTACTCTTTGGAACTCTGCATTCAAATGGGTATATCTTTCCTTTTCTCCTTTTCCTTTTCACTTCTCTTCTTTTCATATGTATGTGTAAGGCCTCCTCAGACAACCATTTTGCCTTTTTGCATTTCTTTTTCTTGGGGATGGTCTTGATCACTGCCTTCTGTACAGTGTCACAGACCTCCATCCATAGTTCTTCAGGCACTCTATCAGACCTAATCCCTTGAATCTATTTGTCATTTCCACTGTATAATCATAAGGGATTTGATTTAGGTCATACCTGAATGGTCTAGTGGTTTTCCCTACTTTCTTCAGTATAAGTCTGAATTTGGCAATAAGGAGTTCATGATCTGAGTCACAGTCAGATCCCAGTCTTGTTTTTGCTGACTGTATAGAGCTTCTCCATGTTTGGATGCAAAGAATATAATCAGTCTGATTTCAGTATTGACCATCTGGTGATGTCCATGTGTAGAGTGTTCTAATAGTTGGGAGAGGGTTGAGTTTAAAACTCGACCTCACCATCTTTAGAATGTGTGATCCTAATCCATCATATATCTGGGTATAATGTTAGCATATTGATCCCCTGTGTCATTTAGGCTTTGAAAATTAGAAAGTGGAAAAGTTAGTCTCTCAGTTCCGTCCAACCCTTTGAGACCCCCATGGCCTGTAGCCTGCCAGGCTCCTCTGCCCATGGAATTCTCTAGGCAAGAATACTGAAGTGGGTGACCCTTCCCTTCTTCAGGGGATCTTCCGAACCCAGGGATTGAATCTGGGTCTCCTGCATTGAAGGCAGATTCTTTATGCTCTGAACCACTAAGAAAGCGCCTATAGGCTTTCACGATAATCAGTGATTCTGTTAGCTTGTTTGTAGATCAGGTTAGAATTACAAAAAGGGAGAACTCATCAGGACCTAGAAAATGATGGTAATCCTTAGAGGAGCTCTCTTGTTTTCTACCCTAGGATGGATTAACATACAACCCTTAATAAAATTATCCTCTATTTTTTTCAATCGATGTGTATAATACTTTAAGTACATGATTATAATAAGAACAACTTGAAACAAACAGAACTGAGCCCTGTTAAGCGTATCAGGCAGAGCAGGTGTGGAGGTGTCCCAGAGTAGTCTAGCTGGGAACAGTCAGTGTGCTGTGGGCATCAGTAAGCATGCAGCATGATAATAACAAGTATTTGTAGTGATCACCTTCCTCATCTTTTCTGGCCTCTTTATCATCCCATTATTGTTCGGTGTATTAGATGTGTTTGTTTCCTAGGGCTGCTATAACAAAGAACCAGAAACTGGGTGACTTAAAACAACAGACATTAATTCTCTCACAGTTCTGAAACTAGAAGTCCAAAATCCAGGTGTTGGCAAGAGATGGTTCCTTCTGGAGGGTCTGACGGAAAATCTGTTTATGCCTGTCTCTCTCCTAGTTTCTGACGGTTGCTGGCAGTTTCTGGCATTCCTTGGTTTGTAGACACATGACTCTAATCTCTGTCTCCATCTTCACATGGTATTCTCTTGTCCTCCATTTTTAAGATTTAAAGCTTGGCCTTTAAGTCAGATGGATGTGGGATTTGAATCCAGACTCTGTTTCTTTGTGATCTTGGGCAAGCCCACCTAAACTCTCTTGAGCTTCAGTTTCAGAGAAAATGGGAACAGTATCATCTTCTTGAAAACCCCTGTGATTAGGTGAGTAATGTTTTCAAAGCCATAATATAAAAGGTGGCCATTCAAATTAAGCTTAGGGTCAATGCAGCAACCACTTTTTCTCTCAATTTTGTATATTTTAGTAGAATAAAGTGCAAGTCCTATCCCATAGACATTTAGGGACAAATGTGAATGAATCCTTAGAGAATTAGGTCATGTCCAGAGACTTCTCAGTTTCTAAGCAAGATGTTAAGAGATTCAGTTCCTCGTTCAAACTGCTTATGATTTCTTCCTTTTGTTTTACTCTCTTCCTAAGACTAAAGTAGATCAATATAACTGGAATCAGAAGAGCCAGAAAATTCTTATTGTTTTCTCTGACATCAAATACTATGAAATTTGTTCTATATTGAAAGTCAAAATGTCACTTGTAAAGCTATAAATGGGCAATAATGCTGTTTCATGCAGTGTAAAGAGTAAAGCATGTACTATCATGTATATAGTAGTAAGAATAACATAATTTTTCAGTTAGAAAAGATGTTGGAGGTATAATCACTCAATCATGATAAAAAATCTTTTTTTGACCCTTCATGACCAAATACCCAACAAAATGTAGAAGTCAGGTCAGTTTCGTGGGCTTGTGACTCAGACATAGAAGAGCCCTGTGCTTGGCTTAATATTGGTTGTCTCTGTCTTGAAATTTTTTACAAAGGGCTCTGTATTTTCAGTTTGCATTTGGTCCCACAAATTATGTAGCCAAGTCTGTGTAGGTCAATTTTAAATATTGTTGTTTTTTTTTTACAGTTGGTTTTTGCTATATTTGAAATCTGCATTAATCCAATGACTGTCAGGGAGCTATTTTTAATTAAAAAAATAACATAAAAAGTAAGTGAATCAAATTTCCAGTTATAGGATAAATAAAGTACTAATGATGTAATGATGTAATCATAACATGATGATTATAATTAACACTGCTGTATGGTAAAATTGAAAATTGTGAAGAGAATAGATCCTAAGAGTTCTTGTCACCTTGAAAAAATTTTTTTTCTTTTTTCTTATATCTCTATGAGATGGATATTAAGTAAACTTATTGTGATAATCATTTCATAATGTATTAGTCAAATTATGATGATGTACACTTAAACTTATCTTGTGCTGCATGCCAATTATATCTCAGTAAAGCTGGAAAAATGAATTCAAAAATAAATACATGCTTACCAAAAAAAGAGAGCGAAGTATGTTGATTCACAAGCATGTTAAATAGACAATATGTAAATATCCAGGTATGTGGATGGACTTCGGAACCCAAATATCCATCCAGATAGTACACATTAAATATATCATGGTGTATACATACAACAGAAAGGACTACTTAGGCATATCTTAATCCTAGTTGAACATTATAATTACTTTAGGAGATTAAAAAAAAAATCTGTCTTGGTTCCCTCTGAGATACTGATCAGTTGGTCCAGGTGTGTTTGCAGGCTTGGTGTGTTTTTTTTTTTTTGGTTTAAGTTTCCCAAGTGAATCTAATATGCATGCAGGGTTGAGAACCATTGATGTTAGCCCAGAAAAGAAGAAAGTGAATATAAATGTATTAACATGGAAAATTGTCCACAATATTCAGTGAAGTTTTTTTTTTTAATGTAGGTTATAAGGCATTTGTAGATCATATGATTACACTTGTGTAAAATATGTTTAATACACAATACAAGTTCTGGAATGGTAAACAGTAAACTGGTACAGGGGTCAGTGTAAGACTCATGAAGAAGTAACTTTCTATTCTTCTGTACTTAAATTTTTACACAAAGATGCTGATTTAGAAAAACATGAGAATACAGTATTTTTAAAATCAGTAAAAGTTTCACATCTTTATTTTCATTAAAAAAAAAACATGGTGAGTCTTTGATTTATATCTTCCAGCTCTTTATCACATGAATACTTACAATTTGTACTAGACACATCAAAATTTTGGTAAGCTTACCCTTCAATAAAATAGAAAAGTGTTGTCACAAGCATTGTCTCTTTTGCATTAGCTGAAGTCATTCACCTTTCACAGATAAAAAAAAGAGTTAAACCTCTAGATTCTACTTTTAGAAAGAACTGACACTCAAACCCACATCTGATTCCAAGTTGCATACTCTTTTTTACTCTATTATACCACCTCCTTGATAGCTTGCTCTACACAGCACTGATGCAGACAGGAGTCACTCTGTACAAGGAAACAGAAATTGAGTAGTATAAACCTTCCAGGCATATTCCAAGTAGGAATCATTATTGCTTAATAACATGAAGAGATGCCTTTCAGGGGTATCTGTACCTATTTATTGAAGACAGAGGGCTATAATATTTTCCTTGAACTTTTGGTTTCCTGGAATGAAGGAATGTCATATTTAAGAATGTCATATTTAAGAAGTTTGGAAATAAATGTTCTAATTGTGATATATTGCATCCAATCATCAGCAAATGATGCCTGCTTTACCATCAACTGTTCCTAATCTGACCTCTTCACACCTTCTCTTCGGCCACTTTGCTTGAGGCCACTCTTTTCTCTCATATGTGTATGTGACTGTGTGTGTAAGCATGCATGCATGCTCAGTTGTGTCCAACTCTTTGTGACCCCATGGACTGTAGCCGACCAGGTTCCTCTGTCTATGGGATTTCCCAGGCAAGAATACTGGAGTGGGTTGCCATTTCCTTCTCCAGGGCATCTTCCTGACCCAGGGATTGAACCCAGGCCTCCTGCACTGGCAGGAGGATTCTTTACCACTGAGCCACTTGGGAAGCCCCAGGTATTTTTCTCACCTGAGTTATTAGAATAGTTTCCTAGCTTCCCGTGGGCTCTGCTGCTACTCTTTCCTCCCTACAGTCTAGGCTCCACCCAGCAACTGAGTGAGGGTTTTAGTGTCTAAATCAGATCACGGCCTGTCTGTCCCCATAGCACTCAGAATAAAATCGAGTCCTTACAAGTGTGATCTGCTTCTCCTGTTTGCTGGCTCCTTCCCAGACAGTCTCCTGTCAGCCTTCTCCCTGCTCACTCTGCCTGTTACTGTGTCTCGAACACATCAACTCCACTCCCAGGTCAGGCCCTTGGCATCTGCAGATGCCTATGTCTAGAACACTTTCCCAGATACCTGCACTGACGATCTCTCTCCTTTCACATTTCTGGTAAATTGCCCCTTCTCTCTGAGGCCTTCCTTAACCACCTTATAAAATAGTTATCTCCTTTTTCTTTACACCACCCCTGACATTTATGTAAATATGCATTTAAAATATATGCAGGTATTTATTTATCGTCCATCTTCCACCATTAACAGGGAAACTCCCTGAGAGTGGGGACTTTGTTCTTTTTACTGCTGGACTGGCAAGGCATAAAACAGGACCTTTCAAGTAACAGGCATTTAACAATCATGTGTGAATGAATCAAGCTTCCCTTTACACTTTTAAGCATTCTTTTTGCTTCTGTCCTCTAGAAGCAGAGGAAAAATTATTTTTCCTTCCAAAGAGTGCTGTTTTAATTCACCCCAGCTTCTAAGTAAAGATAGTTTTTATATATGAATATAAATATAAATTTAGCTACAAATGCTAAATAGATATTAATCATTATTACACGGGATTGTGATCTGGGTTAAAATCTTAAGTAAAGCTAACACTCAAACGAGTCCCAGAGGGATCCCACCAAGGCCCTCTCTGCAGAGAGCAGGCAGCTTGGGATGAGGTGGGAGCTTGGGTAGAGAAGAAGAGAGCCAGGCTCAGGTTTGCTTATGTGTCCTGAATTGAAACTGGTTTTTATTAATAAATACAACTAAACCTGTTCTGTAGTCACATGCACCCCCTTGTCCTCCCCACCTCCCAGCCACAGCAGTCAAAACCCATTTTACACTTTTAAATGCTAGACTTACTCTTATCAAACACAATTTGTTTTCAAGTTGAACCTGAAGGGTGACTATTATCCTTTTCTCCCACTTTTATTGTTGAATAATAAATAAAAGACTAAGCTAAATTTTTCCATTTTCCCTGAAATACAGGTAGGCTTTTTTTCTGTCCATAATCATGACCCTAGGATGTTTTGACCCAGGAGGTGGTTTTCATTCAATGTGGGGTAGGGGGGAGGGGAGGGAAAAATCCCATGAGGGGATAAACTTGCTTATTAGAAGAAAATATTTTTGTTTCCTTTTTATCTTACAGGCCAGTCTCATCTCACACGGCCAGTTCAGAGGATGCTAATATAAACCTTGCCCACCTCTCTCAGCCAGTCTTTCTTACTCAGACAGTTTCCAAGCAGCTCCCTGATGGAGATACAATCTTCGGCTTCCAGGATGAATCGCGCCACAGCTGTCCCTCCTGGCAGATGACCCTTCATTGTCTCTCTCTTGACACTGTCCAGGACAACTCCTCGGATGTCTTTAGGGTTTCCTGGCACACCAAAGATGATACACAGGCCAACGCAGTCCTCTCCTATCAGGTTACAGAATTCTTCCAGCTTGTCAAACCTACTTGTCTTGCTGGAAGACTCCTCTGCCTTGGACTCTGGGTTGGAGGGGTCAGATTCCACAGGAGGAAGGGAAGCCATCTGCAGTGTCTGCACGGCCAGCTGGAGCTGTATTTGCTTATCAGATCCCCAGAAGGTCCAAACCCAATCTGCCCCGAACATGAAGGCTTGGTGCGTGGTCATCTTGGTGGTGGTGAGCCACCTGTCAGCTCCTTTCTCTTGGCAGAAAGTGACAAAGTGGATTAAGAAGATCTCATTGAGAGTGTTTGGAGCTGGGCACAGATTGCTCAGCGTGTCTTCAAATCCAAGATAGGCCTTCAGTTTCTGAGCCGCGTGGATGATAGCTCCACTGACCACCTCACAGACGCCGAGAACCTCTTTGTCCTTTGGAGCCAGCTGTTGTGATGGTTTCTGCCCCATTTCCCTGCACACGCTGAACACTGCTTCTAGATATTGAGCACGTGAACTGTTCTTTTTCAGAGTAAAAATTCTGCAGTGAAGTCACATCTGTGAACGTGGTCCAAGTTTTCGAACTCTACAAGCAAGCATATATACACACAGCTAAACAAACATGTTAGGTCTTCCTGTTTGCCAACTGGGTGTGTTGGACTCATATTGAGTCCTGCTGGTTTATTAAGTCAGAGATACTAACTTTCACAAAAAATCATGTGTCTTCTAGTTATATTCACCTAACTTTAAATATTCGGTAACCTCTTCTGAGACAGGTTTCCTTTTTTCAAGTTTTAGTTTCATTAAAAAATACTATTTAGTTCTTTAAAGAAAGAAACATATGAATATAACTAACTTCTTTCTACAACTAACTTCTTCAAACTTGTAGGCAAGTCATTTCTGTTTGCGTTTCCGATACCCCTTTGCCATGATTCCTCATCCCCCAAGCTCAGCTGCCTGTGTTTCCTTTCATGAGAAAGTTTTTGAAGCAAAGGCTTTAAATTTTTATCTGTTGATACAGGCTATGCATGCTCAGTGGCTTCGATCGTGTCCAACTCTTTTCGACTCTGTGGACCGTAGCCTTCCAGGCTCCTCTGTCCATAGGATTCTCCAGGCAACAACAGTACTGGAGTGGGTTGCTGTGCCCTCCCCCAGGGGGTCTTCCTGACTCAGGGATTGAACCCATGTCTCTTACCTCTCCTGCTTTGCAGGTGGTTCTTTACCGCTGAGCCACCGGGGAAGCCCTGATACAGGTTATAGACCCCCCTCAAACAAATTTCTGAGAGTTTGTGAGCTGTAAAGAGTTGGTGTTACTATTCTTTAGATCTAAAATAAAGGCGACTTGGTTATTCCCAGTAAAGGAAAACAAAGTAACACACAATAAAAATATGAGGCAGTTATCAATTGACTTTATTTCTTTTCATATGGTAATACCAGCAGTGTAAATATCTTGTAAAAAGAATATATATCATCAAAAAAATTTAACCTTATCACATATCATCAGTGATGTTACACTGTCCTGAATAAGGAATATTTGGCATCTGTAACTGTCTCCTGGTATTTTTAACCAGGATTGAATAACAAATGGTTTTTCAAATGGTGACATATGTTCACATTAAAATGAAACACAAATACAGAATGTCCAATACAGTTACCAAATAGTGCATAACAGGGAGCAAAACTATTATTAGCATTGAGTCATTTTAATTATGAATAAATAGTAATTTAGTATCACAGGGTTCCTTGATAAGAAACTTGGAAACTTGCTAACTTGAAAGGTCATACCACTGACATTCAAATAATTTATTAGGCAAGTCTTCGGACATATATTGAACTGCCCACCCTACGCTAATTTTTCAAAACCTGTCTTTACCACCACTGACTATCATAAGTAATGACACAGTAGTGAACCAAAAACTGGATATTTTTCTGACACCTCTAGAAAATAATAAACACAATAACAGTTTTTATTGCAGCTTTCGATTTTCTTGATAAAGAATATTTGGAAAAAAAATATTTGGGCCCTGTGCTACAGAAAAACATGAACTGCATTTTATCATCACACTATAGCTATTATGAAACTAATTTTCCAGTCTTTGAGTTACTGAAATCTGAGATAAAATGTTGAGACAAGTATTCAGCTTTTTAAAAAAAAATCCATTTGCTGATAGTCTGAGAAGTATGCAATTAATAACATTAGGCAGACTGTTAGTATTTTGATGCAATGATATGTTTAGCAAAGATCGGAAGATAAGAAGCTTAATACTGTAAAGGGTTTTGTTTTGGTTTCTTCAGGAATTATTTCTACAAATTTTGGGGGAGTTTCTTGAATGCACTCAGGTTACTAGCACTTAAAATGTCCCTCAGATTCTTCCTTATGAGTTAAGAGGATCCAAGACTAAGGCTGAAATTCTTAAAAAGCTATTCAACAATTTTGTGAGGTGTCATCAAAGAAGGGGTATTTCACATATGTTAATTTAGTCTGAATGATCAACATGATTAGAATTCAGTTTGGGGAAAAGAAAGATCATTTGAACCTCTCCAAGAAACAGCTGGTATATGAAAATTTTGATCACTGTATTTTTTTAACGTGATCTTTTTACCATCTTCCTTATGTTACAAAATAAAAGTTCTATTTTCTATGTACTAAGTATATACATATATTTAGAAAAATATATAAAAAATAGGATAATGAGAGGCAAGTGGAGGTGTGGCTGGCATATAGTGGGCACACGGAACGCCTAAGAAATCCCACAATTTGATTTTGAAAGCATGTAATGTCCTGCTTCGAGGGCCGCAGTGGTGTCACATCAACAAGACAAAACTCATTCACATACTGGTCACTGCTTCCCAAATCCTCCATGGTGTGAGTGTGGATGGAAAGACTATGGTAAAATACTCATATTAAATGCAACACTTTAAATATAATATATCACAGATTTTTTTTTACATTAAATAGAGGAGAAACAATTATACTCTCATTCACCAGTGTCTCAATTGTCATGGCAACTTTAGAATCAGCACCTATTCCCTGCTTTCCATCTCCACTTCCACATGAGAAGTGGGAATGATAAACAATATACAGTCTGTGGCTTGCTGTAGATACTGTGAGTGTCCGAGGGATAAAGTGGAACAAAGATGAAGGGCTCCCTGCTCTCATCCAGGTGCTATGGTCAGACGTTTGAGTCTTCATCAGTGATGCTGGCACTGGGGGAACGGGCAGCGAAATCTTTAAACATGTCATCTTCCTTTAACATGTGCTGGAAGACAAGGAGGTGGGAGTCACACACACCAGGCACCTTGAGCTCTCCACGACACAGGCAGTCCCCTTTGGGGTGACTGTCAAGCTTATTTTTAGAACATTTGAAATTCGTTTTACAACTTACAGTCAGGTTGTTGATGCCCTCAGAGAATGCACCTATCTGTCTCACTGTCCCTTCTGAGTCTTCCATCTGCAATGAACACACCACGACATGACAGACGCATTGGCACAATTTCAAGAAAAATGCAACAAAATGAACACAAGTCTAAGAAGAAACAGTGCAAGTGGCACTGAATGGGGTGGGAGCAACAGAACACTTCCGATGCCATCTCCTCCTATCATGGCAACTGGACGTTAAAAATGAGAAGAAAAACGCTTTGCTGGCACATCGAGCCCAAAGCTCTGATGTTGACAATGGCACCAAAGAATATTCATTTGAAAGCAATACTCAGATCCATGACCTGATACTGAAAAGGCTAAGGAGTATGCGGTGTCCATTCCTGACTTGTTCTAGTATGCAGACTTCCTCAATACTGAGATAGGCATAACACAGGTAAATAGTACAAGCTTTGAAAGCCAGCATGGCAGGCTGGAATCCCAGCAATTCTACCAGCTCTTCTGTCTTAAGTTACTTAACCATTCTGTGCTTCAGTTTCCTTATCTCTAAAATGGGAATAACAATGCTCCCTATATTTTAGGATACCCTGAACATTAATACATGTTATATGCTTAGGATAGTACCTGGGATGTAGCAAACAATCTGTAAAAGCAAACCAAAGCAAAGCCACTCAGTCGCGTCCAACTCTTTGCGACCCTGTGGACTGTAGCCCACCAGGCTCCTCAATACATGGAATTTTCCAGGCAGGAATATTGGAGTGGGTTGCCACTTCCTTTTCCAGGGGATCTTCCCAACCCAGGGATCGAACCCGGGTCTCCTGCATTGCAGGCAGATGCTTTACCATCTGAGCCACCTGAACTGTGGTAAACAATCTGTAAGTGCTTGCTATTCTCTTACTATTATCTTTATTATTAGGTATTTGAGGAAAACATCTTTAGTTAGTAACAGCACACAAACTTTTCATATAATGTTTAAATACTGAAAGAACTTTGAAACAGGCCTATGGTGTTACGTTTACCTGCTCTAATCGGTCCAGGTCATCCTCATCATACAGGTGTACATCCAAACCAGGCTTAAATCCTTTCTTAGATGTCCCTCCTGATGCCTGTCCCAACTCCATCGGACAAACATATTCCTCCCCATCTTCCTGTTTCTTCTTTCTCAGGTTCCCAAAATTGCTGAAGGTAAGCTTCTTTGGCTTTAAAAGAAAAGCAAACAAAAACAACCAGGGACTTGATAAAATTCACATGACAAAGGACCAGTAACATATATAATCTAAGTATTCACACCACCAAGAAAAGCAATCCGATGAATGAATGGGTATAAGAAAAACAAAGACATCTCAGGCATATGATTCACACCCAAATATGATAAATGATCCTCATTATGAATCTCAGAAAGTTAAGCTTGTTCTCCTTACTCACATCACTAGCTGGGTAGTCACTGTTGAAAAGCCAAGAGCCTTAATTGTAATTGACCTTAATGCAATGAGATTTCTCAGGGCTGAATCCAATTTTGCAAGGTCAAAAAGAGGCAAGAGCCATTACTGTATTTTCTTTTTGAGTGAGGCTATGATTATCCATACCAGTAACTGCTAAAAGAAGCCCTCATTTTCCAGGAGAAAACTTTGAGAGAAGAAAACAATCCATCTTTTCACTGGATAGTACCTGAGACTGTATTTAAAGGAGATGCTGATATTGAGAATTTATACAGAACAGACTCAGAGGTTTCAAATCTGATACATTTTTAAGGGAGAAAGGGAGCTAAAGAGAAAGTACTGAGTGGGTGGGGGGAGTGGTTTTGTTTTTCTTTTAAAAGGGGTTAGTGGAGGGACTTCCCTGCTGGCCCAGTGGTTAAGACTCTGAGCTCCCAATGCAGGGGGCCCAGGTTCGATCCCTGGTCAGGGAACTAGATCCCACATGCTTCAACTAAGACCTGGTGCAGCCAAATAAGTGAATAAATATTTTTAAAAAATAAATAAATAAAAGGGGTTAGTGGAGGAGCCACATTTGTGGAGGAACTGATAAACCCTATCTTCACATTAACTTAGTTGATATAACAGACTCAGAAGCGTTCACAGAAGAGTGATTTAAAAAACAAAAAGTGATCTGAACATGGTGTGATCCATGAATCCAGGTAAATCTGAAGATACCTACTCTGTGCTGGTCCACCTTGAATCATTGCTTGAGTATCCTTTCCTAACTTGCAAGTCTGGTTATTTATGAGAAAAAAAAATCCTCTCTTATGCTTGATTTATCCATAGGATAACAGCAATCAATATTGGGCCCAAGACATGAACTTTCCGCATTGGCAAAAAAATCAATGGTAGACGCCAACATCATGTTGTTTACTCCTATTAACTCTAATAAAATAAATAATTTGAGCAAAGATCCCTCCAGAAGGAAGCCTTCAAAAATGCATTTTCCTAATTATTCTTAAAGAATCATTTACCTTCAACTCATCCACAAAACTTAGAAAACCTAAGAAAATGGGATAGCCAGGTAACAGCCAAGACTGAGTCTTTGCTATAGGCAATTATAAAATGGTAGGAGCTTGAACCAACCTTCACTTTGGCAGTTGCGGTTAGAAGCACGTAATCTGGTAACTCCATGGCGTCCCGCTTTTGGCGCTGGGCCTCCGCACCGATCAGAAGGTTGAAGTGAGTGGCCAGGTGTCTTCGCAACAGGGTCTTACTTGGTGGGATGTTCAGTAACTGAGCCATTGTTTCTACATTAAAACGAGGTTCTAGAACCTACAGGAAAAATTAAGATTGTTGAAGGCACCATGGATCACATATGCCTGGATCGTGCTTTATAGTCTGCAAAGCTCTTTTATTTAGTTATCTCCAGTGACTCTCTGGACAGCCTGGTGAGGACAGACAAACTGTGGGCTTTGATCTTCAATTTAGGTATCTTTTCTTTGTTTTGCCTAAGCTAGTGAGCAGGGCTGGTTCTGACACCCAAGCACTACAAAGTTGGGGCTTCTACCTCTGCAGTGGCACCTTTGGGAACCAACTCCTCATGCAACGTCAAGGTGCAGCAATGCAGTATCCCTCCAGGGGTTTTAAAACAGGATCGTGTGCAAGCCGATGGCCAGGCGTTATCCAACATTAGTGAAGACAGTAAAAGAGAAATCAGCTTAAATTCAATCCAGATTATATGGTAGTATTAATTTTAAAACATGGGGAAGAATCTTCTCAAAGTAAAGATTCACTAGAAATGGTGCCGAAAGGTTCAGTTAGGCGACTTCAGGATTATGACAATCAACTGATAATCTCCTACTCATTAGACTAATGGAAACAAAATGATAAGGAGTCAATTTTAAATGAAAGCAATTTTACCATGAGCCCACCATGGACACCACTGCCTCTGAGGTTGGGGGCATATTCCGCCAGGTCCACAGAGCGCAGCCACTCCATCACTCGATGATTGGTCCACTGCTGAACTTCTGATGGGGTGATGCTGTTCTATGGGGACAAACAACCACCCAGAGCTTTAGTCACTGACTACGGGATTCCAAATATTAAACCTGCCTGCCAATTCTACAGAGCCTGCCTCAGGGGAGGAAGCCTCTTTAAGAAAACAGTTTAAACATTTTGTTAAAATTTTCCATCTTAATTCATTTCTGCAACAGCTGCTATCTAGCTGTCCTTTTTATAAGAGTGAGAACCTTCTCTGTTGTATCTGATAAACGTTGTCTAGGTTCCATTGCCAACAATGTGTTATCCAAAATGCCAATTTAGTTTGTAAAGATGGAACTCCAGGTTTTAAGTATGTATGCCAGACAAATAGAAATGGTGAGGAGATAAGAATATAATGTGAAATAAACTCAGTATTTTAATAAAGTAAAAAAAAAAAGTGAAGAACCTGCCTCATGGAGAGGAGTTTAGCGTAAAGGTAAAAGGGTTGTTTGCTAACTTGAACTCTCCTTTAATGAATCTATGTCCCAGAGTTTTAAGTTTTTTACATACTAGTAAAGCAGTGTTCTAGGAAAGGAAGTCTTCATAGTGATAGTTAACTTTGTGGCTTAAAGAGGCAGAAAAATAAAATGTTCCCAAGAAAGGAGGAAGTACATCTAAAACACAGTTCAGTTACCCAGGCAGAACCATCGTGGGGGAAAGGAAGGAACGCGTGTGTGCTCGGTTGTGTCCAGCTCTTTGCGACCCCATGGACTGTAGCCCACCAGGCCCCTCTGTCCATGGAATTCTCCAGGCATGAGTACTGGAGCGGGTTGCCATTTCCTCCTCTAGGGGATCTTCCCAACCCAGGGATTGAACCTGGGTCTCCTGCACTGCAGGAAGATTCTTTAGTGATTGAGCCACCAGACAAGCCCAAAGGAAGGAATACAGAAGTACAAAGCCTAAGAAGTAAACGAGGCTGGATTTGAGGCTCTGAGGGAGCCAGAAGTCTCCCTTCTGTGTAGGCATCGAGAAGAAAAAATGGGTCTTAGTTTTTCCACCCGGCCTGTCACACACATGGAAAGGAGGGGCTGTGGAAACCTCAGCCTCAGGTGCTACCTCATCAGAGGGTCGCCTCCGTAGACAGTTTGGCTCAAAGTTATTGATCCTTAGGACCTGGATGGCCCTTTTGATACTGAGATGGTGCAGCACACTCACAACCTTCAAAGACAGTAAGTCATCCTGCAAAACAAAACAAAAAAACTGAGATGGCCTAGAGCAGGAGCACCTTCTCGGGAAGATCTCAGAAAACTCAAGTAAAAATAGAAGGGCCCCTCCAATGGGTCTCGAGGGCTCATCAGGTTTTTCAAAGTTTTTATTTGGTAACAGAACCCTTTTTCCTGTTCTGAACAAAATTTTCTCCAGGACCCCAATATATTAATAGAAGAGAACCAAAATTCACATTGTTCCAACTGAACTTGACTTCTACCTGTTTATCTCTCTTCTACTGAGGTAAGATGTTAGGCCCAAACAGCTCTGAAACACGCAGTGTGAAAAGCAGTAGCTAAGCCACTATGAAAAGTGACCCGCTTTGACGTGATCTGATAAAGCAGATAATTGGGTGCAAGTGATCTTCACTGATGACTGAGAGCTGGTTCTCTGAGCTGCGGCATAGCACAGTTTGGAGGGAAACCAGAAGACTGTTCCTGTTATACCATCCCCCAGCCTTAAGAAATCTCTGGTTCTAGATTACTGTGCTTTATCCAGCAGACAGTGTGAACAGTTTGGGAAAAGTTATCTTAATCAATGCAAAGCTTTTGGTGAGAGGTAGAGAGAGAAGAGAGATGAAGATGTTATAAGTAGTAACATATATCGCCAAGCAATTTCTTTAAGGAATAACTTTCACCAGTCTGTGGTTATAGGGAACTTCTCAAACACACCAAAACAAAGTATTTTACAAGAAGGTGATGGGGGAGGCAGTGTCAAGGTAAATACCAGTCTACTTCCAAACCCACCCAGAAAATAAAAAAGGAAAATATCCACTTTAGGCATACTTTACAGAAAACACATTTGTTTTCTTTTCTTTAAAAAACAAAAACAAAAACTTTTTATTTTGTATTGGGGTATAGCCGATTAACAATGCTGTGATAATTTCAGGTAGACAAAAAAGGGACTCAGCCAAACACATGCATGTATCCATTCTCCCCTGAACTCCTCTCCTATCCCACCACCACAGAACATTGAGCAGAATTCCATGTGCTATATAGTAGGTCTTTGTTGGTTATCCATTTTAAATATAGCAGTGTGTACATGTCCATCCCAAAGTCCCTAACTGTCCTTTCCCCTCATCCTTCCCCCCGGCAACCATAACTTCAAGAACACATATCCTATATGGGAAAAATTAACCTATTACAGAGATATTTTAAACATAAAATGATAAGACAGCTTAAATCCAAGCAAAAATAATTTCCTGAGCTTTCTTCTAGATTAAGTTCTTTTTTTTTTAATGTAACTTTTATTTTATATTGGAGTATAGTTGTGTATCTTTGTGTTATTAGGCTGACTTCTTAAAAGCAGTGCTTGATGATAAGTTAGAAAGGGCATTTACCATATTTTAATCTAAGATTGACACACCTATTCAAAACATTTCCACGTGGGCTATTCTCAACCAACTGAAGTCTGTCAGATTGAAGAGAAAAATCAAAATGCATAATGTTTATAGTGTAAATAAAATGTTAATTATTTTAGTTTAAGGGATTTTAAAAGTAGGGACCATTTTTCTTTTCAATCAAAACACACTTTTTTGAGGGGAGGATTTTTTTTAAAAATCCTTTATTTTTAAGTGATTTTAGATTCACAGAAAAGTTGCCAAAGACAGTACAGAGTCCCACACATCCTCTGCTCAGCTTGCTCTAATGTTAACTCTATATGCCATGCTCTATACAACCATGAGAGTCAGCAAAACTAAGAAATTAACACAGACAAGAATGAAATTCAATTAAACCCAGGCTTTACACAGACATCTCCACTTTTTCTACTAGTCCCTTTTTCTGACCCAGGATTCAATACAGGACACTGTATACAAACAGATTTTTTTATCACTTAGGATTTCTGGGGTCAAATCTTCTAAGGCAATTTATTCTTTCATAGACATGAAAATTATGCTTGCCTTTTGTGATTTTCAGTCTGAATTTGCTCACATTCACACTGTTCTCAGTCTGAACATCCTCATTCCTAAGCAGGCAGGCCAACAGCCACCAATGCACTCTGACTTTCCACTACTTTCTAACAGTGGCAACATGGTTCAGTTACCCGATTTCTCAGTTCTTTTGTTTCCTCATCTAAAAGCTGGGCATAACAGAGTGCTACCTCGTGTATTGCTGATACCTGAGCATTAATGATGAGTAAAGAGTTTAAAAGAGTGCCTGGCACACAGCAAATGTGCAACACACCACACGTTGGTGTTATTTCACCTGTAATTTACATGATGTGCCCACCACGGTTCAAACTTTTGTTTCAGTGATGGAGAAGAAAATGAGCTGGACCCCAACTTTCTTTGATATTGAAAAATTCCTCAATAAATTAGCTCTTTGAAACTTTCCACTTATTTTAAAAAGATACTTGTCTGAATTGAGAGAATATCATCAATATATATACACTGCAATGTGTAAAACAGAAAGCTAGCAGGAAACTGGTATATAATACAGGAGTTCAGCTCAATGCTCTGTGATGACCTAGAGGGGTAGGATGGGGGTGGGAGAGGGAGGTCCAAGACAGAGGGGATGCCTGTATACCTATAGCTGATTCAAGTGTTATACACTAGAAACTATACAGTAGAAACTTTACAATACAGTAGAAATTGTAAAGCAATTATATTCCAATTAAAAAAATAAAGCTATTATATAAAAAATAATGGAAAGTTAATATGGGTATATGATTCTTATACAAATTAAGAGAAAAATATATTATAAGACTTTCATATTTAATTTTAAAATTTTGTTTAAAAGTAATTAGAGCAATTTTTAACAGCTTTCACCAAATAAACAGCAAGGTCCAAGTCAATAAAATCAACAGTTTCCACTGTCTTTAAAAAAAAAAAAAAAGACACTTGTGGTAGCTGGATCCGTATCCTAGACCACAAAAAAGCCATTTAAAAAAAAGTATCTTAAGCAGGAAACTCCTAGTACCATGGAGTCTAAAACAAGTTCTCCTGCAACCCATCTCTCCCTGCTGTTGTAAAGTAGGGAAAAGTTTTTCTATCCATTGGACAGAAGGCTAGAAGCACACAACAGTAAGGAAGGAATCTGAGTGAAGTCCTACCTTTCCCTGTCTCTTCACTCCAGCAGAACTGGGCTGAAGTGAGAAGGGCTAGGGGGATTCAGGAAATAGTTCTCAAAAGTGGAAGGGAAGGGAAAAGACAGTTCTAGCAGAACTGTCACAAGGGCAGCTTTTCCAGTGGTCACTACTAATAGGAGTGTACTACTTAGAAACTTCCAGGACTGCAAAACTCTACTTTCAATTTAAATCTTTTTATGGGATGTTATTCTATATCATAAAACGCAACCATTCAGAAGTGTACACATCAATGTCTACGTTGTTGAATATATATAAAGTTTTATGTAGCTTAAGTCAGGGTTTCAAAATTTCCCAAGCCTACTACAATCACCAAATCCCACAACATAGAAAAATCTGCCTGCCCCTCTCCTCAAGTTAAAGCAATACCTTCAAAATCTGGTGGAACCATTGTGAAAACACTGTATTTTGCTTACTCGATTTCTGTATTTTTCAGAGAAAAGCAACTTTAGCCTCCCCAAACCCCAGAAGTGAGTCACTTACAACAGTCATGTAATGAAGCATTCGACCATCTACCCGTCCTTCATCAAACTGGGTCTTGTACTGGGGGAGGCCAATATCATCCAACCATCCTATGGATAGAAATGAGTTCCATTAAGGAGACAAAGAACATTGGTTCTTGTGATGAAAAAGAAAGAGCAGCTACATATGTGTGTGTATGTGTGTGCGTGTGTATACTTTTATACACACTCATTCATGAATTGAAAACCTCTTACTAGTGACCCAGTTGAAATCCAGCTTTCCATGATTGGTTTCTTCTTCAGATCCCAGGGCTTGCAGTGCCAGCTGGAGTTTCTTTCGATGAAGGGAATGCTTGATTCCAAGCTCCTGAAATAGTGAACAGAAACACCAGCATTACAGCTCTGTCAACATAGGCTGGCGGCCATTGGCAAAGGATGCCAGTACCTCCAAAATCAAGCCAGTATTGAAAACTCAATAATTACATTATTTAATTACATTAAATCAGAATACTAACCCCAGCTATAAAATGTTGCTGAATAAAAGGCTCCTGGAAAGCCAAGACCACAGAAGTTGATTTAGTGGTATGTTAGACATTCCCACTAGGTTCCTTCCTTTGCAAGACTGGAACTGCAGGATGCATAACACAAATTCTACTACTCATTTTGTGTGTGTGTGCTAAGCTGCTTCAGTTGTGTCTGACTCTTTGCGATCCTATGGACTATAGCCCACCAGGGTCCTCCGTCCATGGGATTCTCCAGGCAAGAACACTGGAGTGGGTTGCCATGCCCTCCTCCAGGGCATCTTCCCAATCCAGGGATCGAGCCCACATCTCTTATATCTAACATGCATTAGCAGACAGGTTCTTTACCACTAATGTCACCTGGGAAGCCCATTCTTATTTTGTACCAGATGTTAAATAATTGGGAAGAAATGTTAAATAACTGGACATAAAATGTGGGGCTTTTCTCCCTTGTGCAAAGTGCAATTGAATTGCACATATTACATTGAGAAGATGAACCAATGATAAAGCCACAGAATGGTTTTAAGAATATGAACTGAAACTTTATGATTATGGCTCTATAATTATTCTTTCATTAAAATGTCCAGTGGCTTAAGTGTCTCAAAGGAATCATTAAGACCGGGTCCTCCATTTTTAAGTCCATGAGATAAAATAAGCACAAAGCAAGAAACTCAAGCTTTTTGCAGAGTACTTACTAGCCCTACCCACTTCCCTTTCTGGAAAATAAAACAAGCCAATATTCACATTTTCTCTCTGTCTTCACTGCATAAACAAAATAGAGGCATTTACCTTCTCTAGGTCTTGTTGAGAAGCCTGCAAAAGTGTCTGGCCAGATGCAATCCAGTGCTTGCCAGAATTCAGGTAGGACCCCAAACCCTGTTCCACCAGCCAACTGCAAACCTGATCCTTGGTCCACTTGGCAAATGGCATATCCAAGTCACTATGGGAAAATGAATAATCATATGAAAAAACAATTCAAAGCCAATCCTGTAACTTATCATGAGGGCAGAACAACTGCATGTTCAATAGATACAGAGATTCCCATCTGACTATGAAAGGTCTAATTTGGAGGATGTATTCGGTGAAGGAAATGATACTTCCTCACAAGGGAGATGAACACTCCCTTGTGTCAAACAAAGCCACAAAAGATTCAACATGATTTAACAAGACTATGTCCTATGGAAGAAGACGGAGTTAAACGAACAGATCAAGGTTGTATACTAGTATCAACCAATGTTGTTTAGAGGTTGAATCTTCAGAGAACACTAGATCAGACTGAAAGAAACTCAAGTCTAACCTGAATTAACTTTAGTAGAACTACGATTTCTCTCCACATGGTATTCACTGAGAAGAGGGCAATGTGCCATTACTGAGTATGAGAAAGTGCAATCAAAGTAAATTTTTGCTTTCTTTTGCTATTTTTAAGTTAATTTTTAATCTGGAATCTAGTTGATTTACAATATTGTATTAGCTTCTTATGCTATTTTTACAAATAGCATTCCTGTTTGGAAAAAAACAGTGTGGCAATGAACAAGAAAACTTCTTTTTAGAATAGCACAAAGAGTTCCTCTACTGTGTACAAAGAGAACATATGGCAAACGAGACTGCAGTGTTTGAAGAAGGCCAAAGAGAGTTTCCTCCTTGATGAAACTGGTGCCCAGTGTTCTGCCTGGGTGGGAGGGACCATGTGTAAAAGGTTTCAAGCCTATTCTCTTTTTAAAGATTTAGTATCAATGACTTGTGCTATATGTTTGCCAACCACACCCTTTGACGTTTAGCGAGTCTGTGGAGCAGTTCCAAACCAGCCCTGAACTGGGATAAAGGTGTAGGAAAAGTTCTTAGAGTCTTAACAGATAAAACATTACACAGTCCTGGCAAAGTGAATTCCAATAGAATGTATGTCTTTTAAGTGCTTTCACAGAATCTATTAACGGTTAATGTTTGGTGGTTTAGTTGCTAAGTCGTTCCCCACTCTTGCAACCCCACGGACTGTAGCCGGCCAGGTTCCTCTATCCATGGAATTCCCCAGGTAAGAATATTGGAGAGGGTTGTCATTTCCTTCTCCACAGGATCTTCCTGACCCAGGGATCAAATCCAGGTCTCCTATGCTGCAGGTGGTCTCCTGCATTGCAGGCAGATTCTTTACTGACTAAGCCACCAGGGAAGCCCTGTTAATGTATACTGAACAGTTATTTTTTTGCCAGATACTTAAAGCATATTCACTCATTCAATCATCACAATAATCTTTCTGGGGTAAGTACTAATTCATACTATGGGAAACAGAGGCAGACAGCATGAAAGTAATTGGTTAAGGTCACTCAGCTTACAAGAAGTGGTGAAGTCAGAAATCAGGTCCAAGCAGTTTATCTCTAGAACGTATTCTCTCTTTTTTTTTTCCCTTAATTATAGTTGAGTTACAATGCTGAGTTAGTTTCTGGTGTGAAGAAAAGTAATTCAGATATATAAATATACATATATACATATATATATATATATATCCTTTTTCATAGTCAGTTCCATTACAGTTTATTATAGGCTTTTGAATATGGTTCCCTATGCTATATCGTAGGACCTTGTTGTTTCTCTATCATATATATAATAGTTTGCATCCGCTAATCCTAAACTTCCATTCCATCCCTCCTCCTCCCCTTGGCAACCACAAGTCTGTAGAACCTATTCTTACTACACTTTCCCATCTTTCCAGAGCTACACTTTAGAGTTCCTATAATTATTTTTTATGTAAAATTTAAATCCAAAAGCCATTCTAGTACAGATGTTGCTGACATTTCAGCTCAGGTTACTCGCCTAGCTCACAGAGCCCTCACCTTCTGTATAGTTTCTCATTAACCACAGTCAAATGGCACTGCTCTAAAGATGACAGAGGTTTCCACAGGCACAGCAGTAAGCAAAGGATTCAGCTGTCTAGCCCAGGGTCAATAATAACACTGCAGATGCTCATGAGACCTTGATGCTTGGGAGGTGATGCACATGCCCATGCGTGTGGCTGTTCCTACCTGTTAGACTGTCCCAAATCACGAGACCAACCCAATCGGGGCCCCGCAGTTGCCCTTGTCCCTCCTCTTTTGAATTCAGACTCAGACATGTCATCTGGGTTGAATGTAGTGGACTGACTTCTCCTAAGTCTGTAAAGAAGACACATCACATTAGACCTGAAGACGCCTTTGACTTTAATTTGAACATTTTAAACTGATGCTTATATATGTATGGTTAGAAAGGACATTTGGATTTAAACTTTGAGACTCAATGAGTTAATGAATCCCAAGTCACAATCTTCCCTCTGTAAAAGGATCACAAAAGCCCTAAAGTTTTCTAACCATTTTTAGCCAGTTTTCCAATCATCCCTACATTTGAGCCACATATAAGACAAAGCTCTGTTACTTACTTTCCGAAGAGTCTCATAATACCCCGGGATTTCTTCTTGGAATCTGGAGATGGTGGAGACATCTGGAAGGGACTACTTCCCTGGGAATTTTTCGGCCGAGAAGATACACCAGCCAGATCTAAATGCTCGGGTGTCTCCTTTTCCGTTTCAGCTATTCCAAGAACAGAATACATACTTGATGAAATTTAAAATATGAGATGAGCATGCCTAGATGTTAACCTCCTCGGTTTAAGCAACTGTTAAGAATTCTTCTTCTGTTGATCTATAAACTGGTGACTTATGAAGAGCACCCTGTAAATATTAAAAATGGAACACAAATCTACATCCTTCTCTACCATCTACTTTGTTGTGTATCAAGTTTATTAACTTGGAAATTACATCTTCTTTGAGATAAAAGGTAAAATAGCATTACCATACTCTTTCCTTGACTGATTTGAATCCATAATGAAATTATTTTCAAAATTACTGCAGTACTCGGTATTGTTGACTACTTCCTACAAAGCCATCCTCTCCTCTGGCTTCCTGACACGACACGTTCCTAGATCTGTCATCTGAAAGTTTCTTTGCTGTAGTGCTGTTTTCTCTTCCTCTTTCACTCCAAGATTCTCTCCTGGGTTCCTTCTGCAGGATCTTTTGACAGACTCACCCACTCTATGCTCAACATGAAATGATGGCTTTGCTCATTTCATGAACAAAGTAATGGGATATCAGAATCTCTGAGCCTGATAATCTCTCTCCCCAGCTTCAGTATCTGAATGTCAGTGGATATTCCCAATTTGGTGTGCCAAGAGTACCTGGGACTTAACAAATCCATCCAATTTTCCTGAGAGTCTTCTTTTACATTTTCTTACTTCATATTTCATTAATACCAGGTAATTTTCTCCCTGTTACTCCAGTCCAACCTCTTTGTCATTTTCTTTTCATTCCCTTCTCCCCTTTGGCATTTACATCAAATTGGTTACCAAGTTCTAGGAATTCTTTATTTAAGAAATTTATTCTTAATTATCACCTGTTATGTTCCAGGAACTGAGAAAAGAATGAATTGGATAGTCATAAATTTTCCTTGTTTTTTATTAAATTTTTTTTATATGAAACTAGTGCCTGTTGATTTTGCCTTAAAAGAATAACATCCAAATCTGCTATCCTCAGACTTCCCAGCATCAACTCTCCTCATTTGTTTAGCTGTCGATCTCACACTAGCAAAGACAAGGATGCTGATTCCTCGATGTGAGAATATGCACTTTTACAGAGCAAAGTAAAAGTTGTACAAAAATCACAGGGACAGTGTTTCAGCAAGATCTAAAAGTTGCAGAGGCTGACTTGTCTATGAAGCAGAGCTGTGACTATAGGTTATGGTAAGCAGCACTGATTGACTTCTCAGCATCAACAATACATTTCTCCTAAGAAAGATGCAAACACATTTGAGAACAGTTGTCTGGATAGATCATTTTCATTCACCCTGTGTATATGCTGGACATTTAAGTCTATGAAGAGAGAGAAGTCACTCTTGTTGACCCATATTAATATGTGGATACCTACACAAGGTAATAGGACCTATTGGGAAAAATCCAATGTAATCTATCCATTCAAACCCTATAGCCATGATAGAGGTACTGGGGTCTCTGAAAATGCTGCCCAGCTCCCACTCATTTTAAAAGCATTGTGTTTTTATTTATTTTGAGGATAACCTCCCTACCACTGTATTCTTTAAAAAGGAAAACTGAGCTTTCCCTCTCCTAAAATCGCTTTGGGGGTGACTCCTCAGATATTGCTGTAACTAAATGTCACCTCCATCTTCAAAACAATATGTCAGAAGGATGTTCCTCTAAGAGAAGTAAGTCTAAAATGATCATTTTTGGTGTCTTCCACAGACCTGTTCAGCTAAAAACATGTCTTTCTGGAGTCTGGGGAAATGTTACCGACAAGGAGGAGCTGCAAGGCCCTGGGAGTTAGAGTGATGTGATGTACTTTGGGGTGAAGGAGCTGGATTTATGATGCCAGGACACTCCTGCCCGGCACTCTGCCGGCCACTGGGCACATTTGGTCCTCAGAGAGCTGCTTGCAAGGTGCCATTAGCATGGGTTACAGCAGCATTTAGGCTTAGAAGCGGAGGCTCTACAGAGAGTCCTGGTGAGCGGAAGGTGGAAGAAGCACTCTGGAGCATATTGTGATGCTGCCAGCTCGCTGTCTAGAGATCAAGATGCCAAGAGCAGGGATTAGCTCGGTTGGGAGCACAGCGCTGGCGAAGGCAGGCATGCAGGGGTACGGTACCTAAGGTGGGTGCACTGGCACTTCGTTTACGATCTTCAGAAATCCCAACAACGCACACAATCACACGCAGCGCAATGGAGAGAACACAGGGGAATGACAAAATGAAACACAGATCAAACTCCTACTCACAAAATGCACAGTGAGAGGGAGGGTAGGCGCCACACTGCGCTTCCGACGCTACACAGACTCTGCTGGCGGTGTCAACATGGGGTGAATCTATCCGCTTTCAGAGCGGATGGGAGCTGTTTGTAGTGATGTCAGAGAGAGCCACGGGTTTTGGTTTTTCCTCTAAGTTTACACCCAGATCTGGGAGCAGAGTGAGAGAGGCCACACCAAGCTATCTTTACCTCTGAATTAAGCCTGTGGAAGCATTTTTTGTTAACTTTTCCCCCCAAGTCATTCACCTTCATTTCTGAGAAAAAGAAATGTACAAATAGATGAATAAGGGAAGAGACTGATCTTTTCCTGACTCTGGAAGAATTAAGGAAATGGCATTTTGGCCACACATACCCAAGTTTGGCGCGCTTGCTGTCCTCTTGTTACTTTTAATTTTAAAAAAACCACGACCAAAGGAAGATCTGGCTTTCCGAGTGCCAAAGGGATTGTCATCCCCGGAGGCATCATGTCCTGGAACTTTGGGAGGCAGGGTCCCAAAGGGACTGCTCTCTACCGGAGCTTTATCCTGAGAGAGAAGTAGTGATGAATGTGACACAGCATGAACATGCATAATTACTGGTGCAGAGCAGTACTAAATACTACACACGTGATTTTAGCTAAAAAAGGATAACTGAACCAACACATTCATTATGAATGTCAAATGTCCTGTTAGGAGTTTAAAAAGTCAATTCTGATTTTTACTTAAGGAACAACAACAAAAACATGGTCATCACCAATCTTAATCCATGTGTTTAGGGCTTTAAGTATTTAGGATAGATATAGACATTCTCGAATTTTATTTTAATTTAATTGCCTCATTCCCTCAAAGACAGAGATAAAACATTACATCACTGGAGTAGCAGCAGATTTCCTACTTTCCTAATAATCATGACAAAGACCTGGTTATGATATAGTTCACAGTCTTTATAATTACAACAATAAAATCCCAATATAATGTAATTATTCTATAAAGTAGACATTAGTCCTGACCTTCTATACCAGCAGTATAAGAACTCCAGTTATTTCTACTCCACGTATTTTAAATATTTTCTCTCAAAGAATTAATGATAAAATGAAAGCACAAGCAGCAACTATTTAAGGTATATAATTTTGAAATGGGATTTTGGGTTATAGTCATATCTCACCTGCAAGCTACTAAACATGGATCACTGGTTTTCAATGACTGTGATAGATTCAAATATGACTAACATTAAAATGAAATACACTGAAATTAAATTTATCTTGATTGATTCAGAAGCCACTTGAGATCCTCACAATATTTCAAAATCCTTATCAAGAATTTTAACTGTGATTTTAAATACAGGTATACCTCATTTTATTGCATCTCCCTTTATTGTGCCTTGCTGATATTGTGTTTTTAACAAACTTCAAGTGTGTGGCAGCCCTGCATTAGAGCTATTTTTCCAACAGTATGTGCTCACTTTGTGTCCCCATGACACATTTTGGTAATTCTCACAATCTTTCAAACTTTTCCGTTAATATTATATTTGTTAGGGAAATCTGTGATCGGTGACCTTTGATGTTACTATTGTAAAAAGGTGACAGCCTGCTGAAGGCTCAGATCACAGTTAGCATTTTCCAGCACCTTTTAATGAAGGTATGTACATGGTTTTTGTTCATATCATGCCACTGCAGATGTAATAGATTATGGTAGTATAGTGTAAATGTAGCTTTTATATGCACTGGGAAGCCAAAATGTTTGTGTGACTCACTTTATTGCAATATTTGCTTTATTGTGGTGGCATGGGCCTGAACATATAATATCTCCGAGGTCTGCCTGTAACTTAATTTTGAGCTTTCTGGTTATTTAAATTGGTAACTATACTGTTTATAGTATTATCCAAGGATTCTTTTGTCTGCATGTTCTCATTTCTTGAACATCTCTTGTCCTCTCTCTTTTCTGCAGAAATAGAGAGAAGGGCAAGGAGCAACAAGCTATTTTTCTCTACATTTCTACCATGCATAGTAACCAAACATGTACCGATGGCACAATTCAGTGATTCTCTTATCTATGTCTCAATGCCCTATGTCAACATCATTTCACACCACTTACTGAATTAGCAAGACAAAAAGAACAATGACATGAATTGTGGCTGGATCTACTTTCTGTGCTTTGTTAGTTACACCTACTCATGACTCAAGGCAGTAAAAGCCAACAGTGAGACTGCATCTGGAGAGAGTGTGCTTACCAGACTGTGCAAGGTCAACATTTGAAAAAGAGAAGAAAGAAGAGCCAGAACCCATGCTGACGATGCCTTTAAAATACCAGAATGTCTGCTGTGGATAGATCCTGGTTATATAACACAAACAGCTGGTGATCTTTCTAAGAAGGGCTTTTTGTGAAGTGTAAGGAAACCCAGGTTTGGTTGTTACTGTCATCAAGTAGCATAACCAAGAGTTTGGAGCTTTGCTTTTATTTTGTTCTTATTGACGTGAAAGTCATATAACATTAAAGTAACTATTTTAATTTTTGGCTGTGCCACATGGCTTGGGGGATCTTGGTTCCCCAACCAGGGATCAAACCCATGACTCCTGCATTGGAAGTGCGGAGTCTCAATCACTGGACCAGCAAAGTCAAAAGTAACTATTTTAAAGTGAGCAAATGCAGTCGCATTTAGCACATTCATAGTGTTGTGGAACCAACACCTCTACCTAGTTCTAAAACATTTCCATCATTCTAAAGTAAAACCCCTTATTCACTATGCAGTTTCTCCCCATCCTCTCTCCTCCACCCCTGACAACCACAAATTTGTGTTCTATCTCTATGGATTTACCTATTCTGGTATTTTACATAAATGGGATCATATAATATGTGACCTTTTGTGTTGAGATTCATTCATTTGGCATGTTTTGCAGGTTCTTAGAATTTTACTTTATTGGAGACATTTAAGTAGTCTTATGTTTTATATATTAAGCAATCTTATGCATTATGTATTAAGAAGTCTGATGTATGTATTAGAACTCTCAAACATTTCTACATTGTAATCTGGACATAAAACTTACTTCTGAAGGCTTTGGAATAGACTCCTTCTCCTGTTCAAAACAACAACAGTAGTTAAATATTGTTACAGGAATTAATCTATTTAGAATTTCTCACATATAATTCAACAAATTAAAATAAATTTACATCTATTTCAGGGCTACAAAATCTCATCTTAATTTCTACAATACTTTATTAATGTCTCCACATTTGACTTTATGTATTACTTTCAATCCTTTACACGCATATTCCTTAATATTTATCATTAACTGCAGTATCTAATACTTTTCCATTACTGAAACCACAAATGGGACAAGATGAAGATCCCTAAATATTTCGCCTCAGGGTAACAGACAGAAAAAAACACAGGACCAACCCCGTCCGATGACTCTTTCTTCAGATTGCCCAGACTGCTAGATTTCTGCAAACTTGAAGTTCTAAAAATAACAACAATAATAATTATGATTGATAGTGAGTGGTTCTGGTGCCATTGCTTCTAAGTGGAATGCACTGGAAAGAAACTAAAATTGCATGTGAATGGAGTCCTGGTAATAAAAGAAAATCTGGATTCAGACAGTCATTTATGTACTTAACTAAATTATAATGTTTAGTTCTTTTAAAAGCAGGGGTGGTTAACTGTCCCGCCAATAACTGTAACTGTCTTGCGCACGTTAGAATGGCTGGAAAAACACTTAGGACTATCCTGTGATGTCAATATTCGAAAATAAACCAGTGTTTTCCACAGGCTAATGGTGCATCCTTTGCATATACACATTTACATCAGGAACTTTTAAAATGGTCGTGTACTTTTTATATTAATCCTTCTAATGAAATTAAAGGATGAAAAAGTATTACTTTTCAGTTCACAAAGGAGTCAGTTTTCTGAGTCTGGCAAAGCACTTTATTTCCAGTCCTAATCAAGCATAATAGAGGAATCCCTGTTGCGATAATAACTCGTTTAAAACCTTAGTGAAGGCACAGTGACAGTGTGAACACCTGGGAAAGTCTTGCTCTTCTCATAAGTTGCATTCAATTATACGCAGCTGTTGTTACTCAGAAACTGAAGGCAGGAATATCTGACCAGTTTAAAAACAAGAGCGAATAAATCACTTTGCTCTAAGATACAGGATAATGGAATATACTAACAAACTTTTAAAAGGCATTTCTCATGTATTTATGTGTAAATGCGCTGCTAGAAATGTCAACTACCAAATAAAGAAAAAGATAATGGAGAAAAAAGATCTCATCTTTGAGTATAGCTATGAAAATATTTTCCTAATTTCATCCTGACTTTAACTTGGATAAATGTAGCCATTAGGTCAGCTCATTAAGCTGAAAGTACAAAATACCATGGCAGCCTTACCAGCTGCTGTGATGCTTTTCTAACAGACATACTCAAACTACAGGTCAGTACAAAAATGAAATTTAAAGCACTGAACTTCACATGAAAACTGATGAAGGAAGGCTCAAGATCAGCAGAAAGCTGGCATGAAATAATGGTAAAAGAGCAAGTATTTATTTGTTTCTTTACAACCCCCACCCCCACCCGCTCTGGTCATTACGGCTGCATTCACTCATGCAGGCCTCAGGGTCACCTGCTTCTAATATTAGTCATTGTTAGTGTAACAGACACTTTTTGTGTCCCAAGCAGCAAACATATTTTTCACATTTGATAAAACAGAACTTACGCAAGACCGTCACACAGTTGAGCTTCAGCAGCAGAACCAATTCCATCACTAAAATATTGTAAAAAAAAATTTTGATGAGTTTCATGAAGAAAAAAAAAGACTATATTCCAAGTGAACAAAACTGTCAATAACAAAAAATTGTGCAAGAACAGTTACTTCTCTCTCTTCTAATATTCTACTTAATTTTATTTAGTCTAATTGGAAGATTAGGCAATTAATTTGGGAACATATTCCCCCCAAATTCTATTTGCCTAGGGAGAGACTATCGGATCCTCATCTTGGCTCCTTGACGACATCTTCCAAACAGCCTCAGGAACACGACTGTTGCTATTCTCCTTGCAGTCCTTTGATGACCACCTGGGACCTAGGATATACAAGCCAAGTTCCCTCTCTAACCTGATCAGCATACTTCCCCAGCCGAACCTCCAGTTACTTCCTGCTTCACACCTCTTATTTTAATAACAGAGAAGTGCTGTGGGGCTCCCTGGCCCGTGTCTTGCTGTTTCTTGCTTCTCTGGGTTAAAGATTATGTCTATAAATAAATGCAGCCCACTGCTGCTTTTGGTGGATCTACTTTTATGAGTATTCATATTGCAGTGTTAGGTCATAAATGACTTTTTTTTTTTTGAAGTCGCTCAGTCATGTCCGACTCTTTGCGACCCCATGGACTGTAGCCTACCAGGCTCCTCAGTTCATGGAATTTTCCAGGCAAGAGGGCTGGAGTGGGTTGCCATTTCCTTCTCCAGGGGGTCTTCCCAACCCAGGGATCGAACCCGGGTCTCCCGCATTGCAGGCAGATGCTTTACCATCTGAGCCACCAGGGAAGCCCAATAAATGACATACCTCTCCTCAAATGGAGTCTCTGGCTTAGAAGGCAATTTTGCTTTTTCAGAAGTTTCCAAGCCTTTAGATGCTGGCAATAATGAAGGCATTGAAACTTGCAAGATGCTTGTGTTGAACTGTAATGTAATAATAAAAAACCTCAAGTCAATCCAAGAAACAAACAGAATATAATGCACAGAGTAACAAGGAGATAAATAAGACAATTAAGTGGTCTACTGCTAAAATTTCATACACCTGTGTTTAGAACTCTATCCTTATATTGATAAAATGGTTTTAGGACATAAACATCCAGACGTGGTAATCAGAGGAAACATTCAGAAGAAGGTAATTTTTGAACACGCTTTTGAAGACGACACTGAACATTGAGAAGAAGACAATAAATACCATTAAGAAAGTTAACAGAAAATCCTAACCATGTTAAGTCCTGACTGACATCTTGGCCCTGACACACCTGACTAAGTGAATTTGACCTTAGGTAAGTTAACTGTATACTCATTTTCTCCCCTGTAAAATGACAACGTCAATTCCTACCTTACAGGGTTGCAATGATTGTAGATGAAATTTGGTTAAAGAGTTTTGTAAACAAAACACTATTTGCACTTTAATTTCTACCATTAGTTTAATATGGTAGTTAATTATTCTATACGTGCACAGGTTAACTAACTTCAGTTAACAGAACTGATGAAAAGTGTCATTAAAACAAATTATAATAGATTTTGTGGCAACACTACTTAAAACACAAAGCTTAGTAGTAACAATATTATAGCAAAAACAACAAAAAAGCATAATACATTTTACCCCCCCCCCAAAATGCTTTGTATATCCTAAGGATGGATTTTGTGAAAGGCTTTCTAAACACTGGTTTTCAGTAATTTCTGACAAGCAGAGAGCAGTTAGATTGTGAGCCACACCGTGAAGTAATAAATGAAGCACTTAAAAAAAAATTCCAGTAAAAAATGAAAAAAACTTGCCTCAATGAACTCACTTTTGAAAGTCCGCCAATCCAAGACAGCTCTTGGCTTCTGGGAGTAAGTTAATCAGGTAGGGACCCACACCAGGAACACACTTCTGAGTGTCAACCAGTCAACAACAGCCTCACCTTCACAACCACACACAACTGATGCCAACTCACTCCTGCCACTGAAGGCCCAATGTCCTTGACCAACCAACAAACTCACTTACTTAAATAAGCAATGAAAACAGCTTTGTGAGATTTGTTTCAGTTACTGAGCGGCAGTCCCAACCTGTGATACTAGAAACAGTTATAAAATGTGAAGTCTGTTAAAGATTGGGCACAAGATGGAGTCATTCATGCTAAGCCCTATATTAGCAAGCCTGGACGTAACTACATTTCCTATGCTCAGCTTTCCAAGAAAAGGAAGGACTAGGTCAACCAGTCAGCACTTCCTGTTCAGGACAAGTTACCTGGCTGGGGCCCAAGACCTCTATTCTATGTAAGGGAATAAACCTTCGTTAACCAATCAGCACATGCCAAGTAAGATTTCCCTTTTCTGCTCCACTCTGCCTGTAACAGTTGATGGGATGCTGCTGGATTCATGAATCACTGAATAAAGCCAACAGATCTTTAAAATTTACCCAGCTGAATTTTGTTCCTTAACAAGTCATATTATTATAAAATAGGCGATTAGTTCACTATCACTTTTTTCAGTTTGAATCTTTATGATTCATTCTGGGCAATTTATTTAACCACCATACCCATTTTCTGATGTGCACTCACTTCCTTGGGTTCCTTCCTTGGGAAAAATAGCTACACTAACAAACTGACCCATTTTCTAGATTTCTTTCAAAATTTAGGGCTTTCACTCCAACCTCAAATTGCCCTCCTGACTTTTCTTTAAAAATGTGGCTGAACATCTTCAATCATCCTAAAATCATTCTTGTTCCAAACTTATTATCTGTCATTAAACTGCAATTCACATAGTGAAGACTTTTTCTTTTTGGTAAAGATACGAGGTTATCTGGGTATGTCCCATATGGAACAGCACCTGCTCTCAACAAATAGGGCACATGCCGTGGCCATCATACAGTATTTTTTCTTTTAGTGTAAATATTTAACAACTAGAGAAATTTTCCCTCTATACTAATTCTTATTCCTTAACTAATTCCTTAGGTTTTTTTCCTTTCAGTTTTATTGAAAAAAAAGCTATGACAAACCTAGACAGTGTATTAAAAACCAGAGATATCACTTCACCAACAAAGGTCTAGATAGTCAAAGCTATGCTTTTTCCAGTAGTTATGTGCAGATGTTGACAGTGGGACCAGAAAAAAGGCTGCGTCCCAAAGAATTCATGTTTTCAAATTGTGGTGCTAGAGAAGTCTCTTGAGAGTCTCTTGGATTGCAAGATCAAACCAGTAAATCCTAAATGAAATCAACCCTGAATATTCACTGGAAGAACTGATGCTGAACCTGATGCTCCAATACTTTGGCCACCTGATGCGAAGAGCCAACTCACTGGAAAAGATCCTGATGCTGGGAAAGATTGAGGGTGGGAGGAGAAGGGGGCAGCAGAGGATGAGATAATTGGATGGCATCATCGACTCAATGGACGTGAGTTTGAGCAAACTCTGGGAGATAGTGAAGGACAGGGAAGCCTGGTGTGCTGCAAGTCACAGAACTGAAAAGTCTTGGACACGACTTGGCAACTGAACAACAACAACTGACATATAGCCACTGTGAAAGTTTTAGGTGTACAGGATAATGACTTGACTTACATACACTGTTATATGATTGCCATAGTTAATTAAATTAACATTTATTACCTCATATAGATAGGTGAAGAAAAAGTTTTTTCCTCATGATGAGGACTTCTAAGATATACTCTCTTATCAACTTTCAAACACACAATACACAGTGTTAACTGTAGTCATCATGTTGTACATCACATTCCTAGTACTTACTAATAGCCTTTGTACCTTTTGCTACATTCATGCAATTCCCCTTCTCATTAATATCTTTTTAATGACACATTTCAGCTAAGAGAAATGTTGTTTTCTCATTGAACTCTTTCTCATTCAAATGAAATTTCATATTTTCATTATGTAATTATGAGCAACATATATAAAAAGATGCCATTTGATTCCTTCTCACAGTTTCCTATAATAAAATGTTAGAAGAGAGATGACCAAAGAAGGATCTGTTAAATATAAAGGAGCCAAGATTTAATTGAAAAATCAAACTGTTTCTCATTCCTAGTTTCCCTAGATGGAATACTACATATCAAAAAATGGTTTCAAGGCAAAGATCAAACACAGGTGTTGTCAGGAAAACAGCCTTAAGATGAAGCCAAAGGTGTGGCTTTGTTAAGAGAGGAAAATTTGAGGTGGTGCTCTCCTTGAACCTTTCAAACAGGTCAAAAAACTCTAAACATAAGGGGATATCTCATAGTGGCCTCACAGGGAACCTAAAGTAATGAAGGGTTTTTTGTGAAGATATTTGTGGATATGATTTTATCTAAAGGAGTGAATTATACATTGATTCATAAGCAATTCCAAATGTTTAAAATATTCTGTCAATTTAGACTGAAGGGAATATAGCTAGTATAAAATGAGAAGAAATGAAGGCTTTGTGACCTAAATGGACACTCAACAGAAAACTACTCATCTGCAAATACAGGCTTCTTCTTATTAAAAAGAAGGATGGCTCAAAAGGAAGCCAAGAGCCTAGAGGACTAGCCTCCATGGAATTGCTAGGGACTAGTGACACATGTCTGCCTTGTATTTCTCTATTTTTCAATGGGTGTGCCACGCCAAGTCGCTTCAGTCGTGTCCGACTCTGTGCGACCCCATAGACGGCAGCCCACCAGGTTCTGCTATCCCTGGGATTCTCCAGGCAAGAACACTGGAGTGGGCTGCCATTTCCTTCTCCAATGCATGAAAGTGAAAAGTAAAAGTGAAGTTGCTCAGTCATGTCCAACTCTTCGCGACCCCATGGACTGCAGCCCACCAGGCTCCTCTGCCCATGGGATTTTCCAGGCAAAAGTACTGGAGTGGGTTGCCGTTGCCTTCTCCGGCCTACAGCAGCTACATTATGTCTATCCCACCACTGTATACTGGATGTGTGGGGGACAGACAGCTTGTCCTTTAAGTTCCAGTTTCCTTAAATAGAATGGAATGGTATTCACAAAGCTGTGCCCAAGGTAATGTCCCTGAAAAGCTTCATCTATAACTTGACCTGATCGGTATGACAAGATCCAGGGATACTGATGCCAAACTGGAATGAGGCTGAGGGGTCTCTGAAGAGGGGATGAATGTTATTTTCCATGGGAGAGGGATATAAATTTTTGGAGCCAGACAGCCAAATATGGTTGCCCCAATATATCCCATCCCGTGTATTCTTATGATATTGGCACTTGTTCATCAAGAGGTAGAGTCTATGTTCCCACTCCTTGAATCTGGATGGGCCTGTGACTACAGGAGAAAAGATTCTACATGACTTCCGAGATATGTCACAAAAGGTGGTAAAATCTGCCCAGTCCTCTCCTTGGGACGCTCATCCTTACGACCCACCACCAGACTGAGAGGAAGCTAAGCAATCACATGTAGTTGTTCCAGTCTGAGTCTCAGCTGAGGTCCTAGTCAACTGTCTGCCTCAACCACCAGACACGTGAATAGAGTATCCTTCAGATGACTCAAGCCCCTAGGTTTCTCACCATTCCAGCTGATGTCCAAGGGAGCAAAGACAAGATGTTCCTGCCAAGCCCCGCCCAAACTGCAGATTCATCAGCAAAACCAATGTTGTGGTTCAAGCCACAAAGTTTTGGGGCTGGTGTGCAACAGATAACAATAATAGATTTTGGTGCCACTTTGAAGTGAAAGTAATATAAGCGAGTTTAAACTGTTCATTCCCCTCTAGCTGCTTTTTTCAAGTTTAACAAATTGAAGGGGAAATTTTCTTCTTTTTTTTTTTTAATTTGAAAGTAGTCACTATTTATTAACTGATCAGATTACAAAAATAATCATGGTAGACACCCTAGTTCAAAAGGCCTGTTGATCGGTCTACTGTACTGCCAGCATCTCCACCTTCTACAAAATAGGTGGTCTTTCTCTTCATTCCACCTTGTGAAGATAATTAGCAGGGCTGTAGGAAGGTGTTTCGGAGAAGGCAATGGCACCCCACTCCAGTACTCTTGCCTGGAAAATCCCATGGATGGAGGAGCCTGGTGGGCTGCAGTCCATGGGGTCACTAAGAGTCGGACACGATTGAGCGATTTCACTTTCACTTTTCACTTTCATGCACTGGAGAAGGAAATGGCAACCACTCCAGTGTTCTTGCCTGGAGAATCCCAGGGACAGGGGAGCCTGGAGGGCTGCTGTCTATGGGGTCACACAGAGTCGGACACGACTGAAGTGACTTAGCAGCAGCAGCAGCAGCAGCAGCAGCAGCAGCAGGAGCAGAAAGGTGTTTGCTGCTTTAAAGCGTTTTCCAATACTACAGATCCCATGAATCAGATCCTCCATGCAGATGATACCATATTTACCAAGTGATCAAGCAACCGATGTGTAATCTGTCAAGGCAATTTGCTTCTTATTGTTTTGCCATAACTATGCTTGTAGATAACTCATTTGCCGACTTCCAGTTGGGACACCTCCACGAAATACATGACTGCACAATACCCAGCCTGTTAACCGAAGTCCATCATCTTTCTGTGTTACCATCACAAGTGACTAAAACTTATATAATCTCACTTTGCCCCCACTTTATTCATTGCCTACTTATTTTTTAGTAAGTAGATTATAACCTCATATTGAAGACTACATCCATCTCCAAAGGATTCATATGTCTTCCTTGAATTATATAAGTGATTTTGACATTGCCCAAGTCTTTATTTATTTTTTTCCTTTTCAAACTTTTTATTTTGTATTGGGGTATACCCAATTTACAAACAAGGTTGATAGTTTCTGGTGAACAACAAAGGGACTCAACCATACATATACATGTACCCATTCTCCCCCAAACTCCCCTCCCATCCAGGCTGCCACATAAGACTGGGCAGAGTTCCATGTACTATACTGTAGGTCCTTGGTGGTTATCCATTTTAAGTGTAGCAGTGTGTACATGTACATCCCAAACTCCCTAATTATCCTTTCCCTGATCTTTTTCCCTGGCAACCATAAGCTGCTTCTCCAAGTCTGTGAGTCTGTTTCTGTTTTGTAAGTAAGATCATTTGTATCCTTTCTTTTTGGATTCCACACATAAGGGATGCCATGTGATACTCCTCCTTCTCTGTCTGACTGACTTCACTCAGTATGATACTCTCCCGGTCCATCCATGTTGCTGCAAATGGCCCAAACCTTTATTTATTAAAGAGAAGGGGGGAAAAAGATGTTTCAATGACCAGAGGTCATAATGACTGCCAAGACAAAGCAAGTCAGTGATCCAACTCAGAAAAGAACTCAAGTCTTTGATGTTGTCAACGGCACTTTAACTTTCAATGACAGAGTCTCTTTAACATGGAGAAACAGTAAGGCTGTAAATACCTCTTCTGGAGCACTTGTGTTAAATGGGTCATGACTGGGAGAGCCCCTTACTGGCGTCAGCGACAGGTTTTTCTCCAGATCACTGAAGGCCTGCGGGTCCAGCAGAGCGGAGAAGGAGCCGGACGGAAGCAGGTCTTCCAAGTCGCCATCTTGGCCTAGGAACAACAAAGCAGAGAGGACACCAACAGCTTTTCACTTTGGGAGGAAGATAAGAATCTTGAACATAAAGAGTTTTCCGATCCTTAAAAATCAGAGTCAACATCTGGCATCCCTAAGAACAACAACATGGGCCCTAGGAATAGCATCTTAAACTGGGAGCACCTAAGGCCCAGGGGCTCTTGGGCCATGTGAGTATCCAGCACTGGTATTGATAGAGGTAATCAATTAATCAATAGTGGTTTAATAAATGTAACTATGGACTCACAGCATTGGCATTAAAGCTAACTGAGTCTGACAACCCTTCTATAATTTTGTGTCAGCACGTGGGGCTTTAAGTATTTCACTTCAGAAATAACCTATGGAGGAATTCCAGTAGTACAACTAAAGTGATTCTAAACAGCAACAGAGTCACACTTAACTCCATTTCCATCACTACTTTGCTCTTGAAAAAAAATGTGCAAAGCAAAAAGGGAAAAGAGAAAAGATGATGACTCTTGGTCCCTCTTGAGAGGGTTCTTTATGCCATTCATTTCATTTTAAAGCAGAAAAAATAATGACATAATGGAAAACAGCAACCACATAACCAGCAAAGTAGCAACTCTGAGAATTTTTTTTTAATGTGTTTAGAAATGAAAAGGATTAAGTGCTGAACAACAGTGCCAGACATTCTTTTTTAAAAACAGAATGGTCCTTCCAACTAGTCTTTAAATAACACAGAATGGCAAATCATTTACTTGTTTAAAGATACTAACTAGACATAGCTTTTAACTTAGGTTTTATTAGATTTTTACTCTAATTTTATTAGAATTGAGGTATTCTTAGAATTGCCTGAGGATTTTCTAAACAAACATAAACCCTACTGAGAAAGCACTGTTGATGAAACTCTTCATTAGAACAGGACATAATTTCCAATGGTTTATAAAAATCTTTCTGTACAGGGTTAAAAACTCTCTCTTTTAACTATACTATTATATGCATAGATTAAAAAGGCAGAAAGAATTCCATGAAAATGCCAGTAGTGACCATGCCAGTGCAGTTATGAGTGATTTTTACCCCTTTTCTCTATTTTCTAAATGTTTTACAATATAGTCTAATTGCAGAATTAATCTGCTTTTTTCATTTTGAAACATTATAGTATTGAGATTCTATAAAATGAAACAATGCTACAAATACTATGACTATGCAAAAATACTATGTAAAATATTTGCATAATAATTTTATGTAAAAATTAATTAGAGAATCTGTAATATTCCTTAAAAGATACTCTTGTGAAGGCATAGAAAATGCTGAGTAATGAGAACTATCATGACAATTAGAGGTTTATTTGCTCATTCAGATAACTATAAAGTCTTAATACATGCCAGGCCTCATGGACAAAAACATGAAGATCCATTTTGTTCAAAGATCCTGGTCCAAAGGATTTTCTTTCTTTGTGAACCCATAAAAATTAAAATTTCAAAATCCCAAATGTTCCACAAGTACCTTCCCAAAGACTTATTTTCATCACTTACTTTTAAAGTAAATAGCCCCACCTATGCAGTGCTAATGAACAAGAGAACTTCAAAGTTCTTAACATTTTTGCTTATTTTGAATGACCCCCAAAGCTTTGTTGTATTTGAGGATGGCCAATTGGCCCATCAGCAGATAAAATAATAATAAATACAACAAAATACAGGCTATTTTTACTTAGATGTTTTACAGACGTTTTAAAAAATGTATTCAAAGCTGGACCCCATACCCCTCAACCCTGGCAATGTTTCTCCTCTAGATTCCCCCCTCATGGTAAGTGGAGACATCCTCTGCTAGTTGCTTTAGCCAGAAATATTATCTTTCCTGATGCTTTCTTCTTCTTCACTTTGCTAATCTAACTCATCATACTATTAAGTCAAGGGTAACACCAAAATAGATTTCCAATCAGCACTGTCACATCTTCCCACTGTAATACTGTAAGGTTATCTTGATTGGTTTCCCTTCCTTCCAACACTGCTGGAATAGTCCCAGTGGTCCATAGTCCACAACACTCCATCTGTCATGTCACTGACTTGTTAAGACCCTTCAGTGGATCCTCTGGGCTGGAATGAGAACTGAACTCCTCACCTTGCATGATCTGGCTGTGTCTCTTCTATTATCTCATCTGTCTCACTCTGCCCTCTGCCCACTACCTTTCAGGCACATGCGTCTCTTTTTTTTTTTAATTGGAGTAGAATTGCTTTACAATGTTATGTTAGTTTGCTGTACAATGAAGTGAATCAGCTCTATGTACACACACTGAGGTCCTTTTCCACCAAGGCTCTCGCACATGCTGTGATTCTCTCTCTCTCTCTAGACTATCCCCTATGGGGAGGGCTCTGTCTGAACAATCAAACAACACTGCACTCAGCAGCCTACACTTTTTCTGGCAGAGAACAGATGCCTAATAACACTGCTGAATGAATGGATGAGCCACCTAATTTGAAATAATAGCAATTGAGGCCAAATGTAAAAAGTTTACAGCCATGTAAAATCAACTCAAGTAGAAAAGCTCTTAGAGCTACATACCTTTTTTACCTGGAGCCAAAACCACTGTTTCTTGCATTTTCTTGTACCTGTTCAGGCACTGTCGAAGATCTTCTATTTTCCGATCCTATTAATAAAATAATAATTTTTAATATTATGATTTTTAAACAAAAGTAATAGAAAAGAACGAGCAGACGTGACTTATTTACATTATTCAAAGAACAGTTCTAAACTTTAGTAAAACTGCTAATGTCTAGAATATTTTTCCTACGTACATCAGAGATATAGAAAAAGTACCTCTAAATTTAGAGATCCTATCCTTCAGCTGCCATCTTTAAAAAACAAAAACAAAAACAAGGTAATAAGATACAAAAAAAAGCCGAGAAAAAAATCAACTTTAATTACTCTCCTCTCCAACATAAGTCAGAGCTGGAAAGGAAGATCTATACTTGCTATCTTCATCAGCCACCATTAATCTCCACCTGGTTCTTCCCTTCTCACAACACTCCGTCAAAGTTTCTTCAGTTAGTCATCAGGGACCTTTCTCTTCGGGGCTTCTCAGGTGGCACAGTGGTAAAGAATCCTCCTGCCAATGCAGAAGCCGCAGGAGACACAGGTTCGGTCCCTGGGTTAGGAAGATTCCCTGGAGTAGGAAATGGCAACCCACTCTAGTATCCTTCCTCGGGAAATCTCATGGACAGAGGAGCCTGGCGGGCTACAGTCCACGGGGTTGCAAATGTCAGACACGCTGAGCACATGCACACAACCTTCTCTTTACTAAAAACAGTGGACACTTTCCATTCTTTTCCGAATTTGATCTCCAGATGGCACGTGACTGACCCCCACTTTCCTTCTTTCACCTTTCTCTCCACTCTTTCTTTTCTTCTGTCTTGATTTGTTAATCCTTGAGCAGATGAATATTCTACTTCCATTATCCCCCCCCACTCCACCTCACGCTAATGTCCCGAACAGAATATGAAATGTTAGAGCTTCAAGGTTTTATCCTTTACCCTCTTCTCTTCTCCCAGGCCCTCAGTGTGGTAGATTATAAACATAGGCTCCTGGCTCCCTCCAACATGGATTTGGGGCATGACCATATGACCTACTTAGGCTAATGATACGTAACAAATGAGGTTCAAAGCAAAGGCTTGAAAAGTAGTTGCACGATGAGGTGTGCCCTCTCTTGCTGCCCTAGGAACTCTGAGGCCACTATGTGAAGAAGCATAGGCTAGCCTAATGGAGGTAGGGAGATCATTTGGAGAAGACAAAACCTAGACCAGTCTGTCAATCATCAGACATGTGAATTACACCATCTTAAACTATCCAGCCCCATCCCAGCCACCAGCAAATGGCAGGGGATCAGCAAAGTCAGCCCAGACTAGAAGAACAATCTAGCCATTCTACAGAAGTATGAGAATTAACAAATATCATTTATTATGGGGCAAAAGCAAACTGATACATCAACTATAGTTTTGTCCCCACCAATCTATGTATTTCAATTCTATGTTTCTCCTAAGATCGACAGAGTTCTCTGCCCACCAGCTTATAATCCTACATTAATCCTGAAATGTAGATTCATTTTCCAACTTTCTATGAGAAATCTTTTAATGTCCCACAAACACATCACAAATTGAATACATCTAAAATGAAGCTCATTATTCACCCCTAGTACTTGACTCTCTGCTTGGATTCCCTTAACTCTTTTATGGGTACCCTCATTCAACCCACTGCCCAAACCAGAAAATTTTCCCCAAATCCAAAGATTTAAAAACCTTGTTAACCAGTGAATTTCTCTAAAATCCGACCCCCTTATCACTTCACTGCCACTGCCTTCTTTCCACAGCTTCATTTCTCACCGATTTTAACAGCCTCTTAATTGTTGTCTTCATTCTCTTTTATCCTTGCTTCTATTCTGCCACCAGAATTGGCTTTTTAACATGGCAATTTAATTATGTCATCATTCCAGGTCTAAAGCTGAGACTCCAAACCATTAAATCATCAGCTTCACTATAGCACCCCCTCATACACCCACGTCCTCCACCTGTTTCTCATGGCTCCAGAACTTTCCCAGTATGCAGTGGCTGCTTCAAGACTTGGTTTTGACTGGTGATTTTGCTTATGGATCTTTTGCCCAGAACCTTTCATTTTCTTGATGAATTACTCTTGCTCTCACTCAGGATTTGCCCAAATATGTCCTCTTTGAAGGCTTCTTGGAACCACCAAGAAGTTAGGTCACTCTTGGTGCTCTTAGAGAAGTCTGAGCATCTAATAAGCCCTCATTCAACATTGGGAGTTTTGCTTGTTATTGTTGCTTTTTGAGGGAGAGAAATGAAAACAAAACGAATTTTAGTGTTGTTGTTGGTTTTTTTTCAAATTCAATCTATGTGGACAGCTTGCTAATGACTTTTTATTTGATGTGGGGAGGACTAACACACACAAATAAACCTATATATGGGTGGGTGGGTACAATGAGTTTATTTCCATTGAATAAAGAACAAAAAGTGTGAAAGGCAATAAACAGAGTTAGGCAAGAAAGAGAAGGAAGCTTATGATGAGAGAAAAAGATCAAGACAAAGTTCTTTAGCATTGACTTGGTTTTTATTTCCTTGAAGTTACTCTTTTTGTGGGAAAATGTCTCCTTGTTCTACTCATTAAGGGACATGACGGGGGGACAGTTCTGGTGACAGGATCTGAACCTGCCTGCTGGGTATGTGGTTGGTCAGGGAAGCCATGAAGAGACATGTTACTTTATTAAGACCCCGCGTCCCTGCTCTGAGCAGAGTGCAGTGAGGAGAAGCCCTCCTGGAGACGTTGGCATTAGGCCAGTGCATCTCAAACCAAGCCTAGTGCCATCTTGATTACATGGTGCCCGTGCCTGTTTCCTGGCATCTCACCACGCAGGAGAGCAGAGACAATCCCAGACGTGAAAGAGGCCAGCAGTGTGAAGGAAGCAACATGTTCACAGAGATTAAAGTCAACATGATGCTGAAGCTAAAACTGCCATGGCTACCTCCCCTTCAGAGTTCATATGGTGGCCCAGAATTTCCAGGGACCACAGAAAGGATGTACTATGGACTATGTCCTTTCTCTCATTTGTCACTTGAATGTAGAAAGCTGATCTGATAGCTTGAACACTTTCTAAATGCAAGATGGTGGGCTGTTGAGGATGGATTCTCAGTAGAGCCAGAGCTGCTGGTTTCCATTCTATCCACATAGCACAAGTATGTCACTGACCCGCTGAGAGCAGGTCCACTTGGGCAGGAAGGGAGAATCCATCCCCTTAATGTCAGTTGTTTAGGCGATGTTCTTTCAAACTAGGGTATCTGATGAAAATGCATGGAATGATCAAAATGATGATGCAACATATCCAAACAAACAGTTAAATTTCACCTACGTACCTTTTCTTCATTTGCTGCCATCAAAGACTCCACGGCCTTTTTCATTTTTTGTACTTCAATATCTGAAATATCACAATATCAAGTCAAAAATCTTTTTTTTAAACGTGTGAAAATAACAAGAAACTACTGACTCTTTATGTTGAAATGTTTTAAGGTAAAGATATTAATTTATTCTGCTTGTTTTTTTTTTTTAAAGGCACATTTACCATTTATATTCTCTTTTAGGGAAAATCTGAAAAATGAACACTTTCTATTATAGCTCACCTTAATAGTCGTCATTCTAGAAAAAAAAAACAACTGCCCTCTCTCAAAGCAAGGACAAAATCCTGATAAGAACGCTGAAGATGAAATTTCAGTGCCATGACAATAAAAACATGGAATTTTCAAAGAAGAAACTTATAATAAAGCAGGTGAAAGTGATGAATGGCATATATATATGACAAAAGCAGAGAAAATGTTCAGTTATAACCGAGACAGAGACACAAATGGTAACAGCCTGATGGAATGTGATATTTACATGAGTGTCATGCTAAGAAGCTAGCTGTAGATTCCATACAGAAGGATAATAAGTTCTTTGCTTCATCTATAAACTTCATTTCCAATACCATCTTAAAATACAAGGGCCAAAGTAAGTGATTCTCCTTAACACTTGATATTCAAATAGAAAAGCATGCTACTTTAATCATAAAAACAAATATTTTAAATATGAAGTCAATCCCAAATGAGATCACAAATTAAAAAAAATTAAAACAGAGAAAAAAGTTCAGCTAAAGTTGTCTCCTTCTAAGAGAAAAAAATACTACTGAAGGTGAATTTTAACACAATGATGCGTCATCCAGCAGAGATATAACACTTTCAATTATGGTATACTCTGTAGGAACTGCTTTTATTATTATTTTTTAAATGGCAAATTTCCTGAAGAATTTAACATCTGGAGGAAAGTCCACTAAGGGTTTATCTTTATCCTGCATTAAATAATCTAGACTCTGTTAGTCAGCCTGGGTACAATTTCTTTTGTAACACAAGAGCGTACGTACGTTTATAGAAATCCCTAATATAGATCTCAGTGAAAAAGTGGGCTACAAAACACTGGAAAGCAAAAGCAAGTTTAAGATGATTGTTAACTGTGGTAAATTTTAACAACAGTAGGTTTTGACTTTCCTGGTGGTCCAGTGGTGAAGAACCCACCTGCCAATGCAGAGGACACGGGTTTGACCCCGGGTCTGGCAAGATGCTACATCCTGAGGAACAACTAACTCTGCGCACAACTACTGAGCCCATGCCCTCAAGCCCACACTGCAGCAGAGAAGGCCTGCATGCAGTAACAAAGACCAGTGCAGTCAAAAAGAAATAAATGTATTGTTTTTAAAAGCAGATTTTCACTGGAGTGTAAACATTGTTTTCTCCTCTGAGCCTGTATCTCAGGCCACAGAGAAAATGCTTCCTCCCCTCCACCAGTCTGGGGGCTCTGCTGAATCCTGCAGAGCAAGGTGGCTGACTCGGGTACAATCTGCAGAATGGTCTTTTACTCCTGCTTCTATCATCGGTTAGTTACCCTCTATTTGGTACATCCTGAAGAAATGAGGAGCTTATTGATGAAGCAATTTTACATCTTTGGTGAGAGAAATGTTTTAAAAATGCATGCAAAGAACAGTCCAAGTAGTACTTTGGGTGAATGTGAAGGCTGATGGAAATACACCAAAAACCTTACTTTTGTCTTTGAGCTTCTTTTTAAAATTTTCATCTGTGCAGGAAAACCCATTGAATTGGAAGTTAGCATATATTACAATGATAATATTTTAAAAGCACTATAATTTGGTCTCCTTTTACCTAAAATAAAGAGACTTTAATCTCAAAAAGACTGAATAGGAAGCATTACTTTATGACTTTAGGACTGGCACTATAATGCCATAATGCTTTCTGTGAGGTTAGAACCTCATGTAATTAATGAGAAGATGTAAATCCGAGTTACTACCTCTGTTACTTCATCTTTCTGAGACTTGATTTTCTCACATTAAAGTTGGGCCTTCCACGTACAAGTGCTTCTTAAACACTGTGATGGAAAAACAGCTAAAGCTGCATCAGCTGCTTTTTATATTCCCATTACAGTCTGATCTATGACCCTCCTGAACATGATGAGGACACTGCTTATGTCATCTCCATCTCACCATTCAAGTTTAACAGCACTGAAATGATCCACCTCCTGTTCAACAAAATCAGTCCACTGATCACGCAGTTAGATGTTATGTTAGCATCAGATTCCATGAAGTTTCTAAACACTAGCTCTTAATGCCTGTACCTGTCTGGTATTGCTAACAAGTGGTTCACAGACCAGTTCACTTCAGTCCAGTCACTCAATTGTGTCTGACTCTTTGCGACCCCATGGACTGCAGCTCCTCAGGCTTCCCTGTCCATCACCAATGCCCGGAGCTTGCTCAAACTAATGTCCATCGAGTCGGTGATGCCATCCAATCATCTCATCCTCTGTCCTATCCTAATCACAGACCAGTGCTGGCCCTCAGATCTGATTTTGGGTTGCATTACTCTGACGTAGCCTCTGTAGTTCACAAGTCCTATGAATCCATTTTTCTCTTACGACTCGTGAAAGCATAACGTGCCTGTGAATGTCCCTGAAGAAAGTACATCCTATACACGCAGAAACAGAGAGGAAAGACGCATTTCCCTCAATGTTGGATAGACTGAATTTTCAGATGGACAGGGAGTTGTGATACCTGCAGATAAATAAAGCCAGGGCAATCTAGAGCCAAGAAGACTATGGAGGTAATCTAATTCAAGCCCCTCACTGTACAGACAATTGTAATTTGGACAAGAACTCTTTCATGATGAAAATTTACCATGTAATAATTAACCATGTAGGCTTCCCTGCTCGTTCAGACAGTAAAGAATCTGCCTGCAATGCAGGAGACCTCGGTTCGATCCCTGGGTCGGGATGATCCCCTAGAGAAGAGAATTGCTACCCACTCCAGTATTCTTACCTGGAAAATCTCACGGACAGAGGAGACTGGTGGGCTACAGTTCATGGGGTTGCAAAAGAGTTGCCCCAAGTGAGCAACTAACACTTAGACCAATGATTAGGCTTAATCTAAAATAAACATCCACAAAAGTACAGAGGTGCCTCCTCTAGCTGCTCAAGAGGAAGCTGACAGATGCCCAAGCACAGTGAAGAGTCTCAGAGGAGTCCCCGGGCTCAGATTGCTGCTGCTGCTCCCCTCTCTCTTTGATGCTAATGTTACACATCATCTAACATCAACTTCTTTTACAGACTGTGATGGTTTTAACAAAAGAAGAAAACAAATGTTTGATACATATTCTTACCTCGATCAAGAATTTCAACCCCTTCTCCTTTCATTTGGCAAACCAATTTTTCTTGTAGTCTTCTCACTTCAGATTCCTTCTCTTCCAGTTGTTCTTTCAGAGATGCCAGCTCCTCCTACAAATGATAATTCATTCAAAAACAGTAGATTATGACTAAAAGGGAATATTCAGAGAGTCTGTTAACTCTTGAGTCAATAATTAGTTTTCATGAATGAAACAAAAAAACTACAAGAATTTAGATGCAAACTTCAGAAATCAGTGGCAATGATAAGCAGGAAGCAAGACAATTAATAAAAGTCCAATTTATAATAACTATGGTATAATTATTTCAAGTTTCTTTGTGACCAACTTAAAAATGAATCTTTAAAAGTGTAATTAGGACTAGGGCAGCCCTAAGGTTTAAGTCTTATGTTAAAAAAAATATCTGACCAAGTTAATCAAAGAAGATAATCAAATTAGATGCTTAGTGTCATAAAAGCAAAACAAAATACAAATTTGAAAAAATATCTTAGACTTGCTTGACATTTATTCAGCATTTCAAGATGGTACTCATGTTCCCTAGACAAGATAGAACTTAATTAGTGGATAAGGCAGCAGGCAATAAACAACTTTAAGTCATGGGACTAAATAATTCCTTCTCATCACTAAGGTAAAAGAATAGAATCTTCTACAACAATGGGAAAAAAAGAGATTCTTTAATCTTAAAAAAAAAAAAACTACACAACTATTTAAGACCTTAAATCCATGTTCTATTTACTGAAGTTTGTTTCAGCTTCATTTTGGTAAAGAATTACTAGCTTTAGCAAATTTAAGTTTTGCTGGTTATATTTAACACAGGAAATAAAGCTATGCAATGCTAATAAGTGTGCCTTTATTTTCAATATAACATTTTTTCAGTTGGTTAAGATATCTATTATGTTCAGCATTATGAGAAGATGTAGCTCTCCAAAGCAGCTAAGAAGTTGGCCTATTATAGTTTTTACTTATGGTGGGAATGGACACCAAATATGAGGAATTTTCAGTAGCATTGTCAAGAAGTGCTGCCATGAGCTCACTATGCTTCTAAGCAGTAAGATCTACTCACTGCCATGGTAGAGTTAACTGCTGTATGCATTTACCTTTGAGAAAGTCTTGAAAGAATAAGACTGTTTATTACTGATACCAAAGAGAAGTCTTTCCCAGGTGAACTTTTGCAATTTTTTTACCATGCTTGGATCTCAGTCTAAGAGAATGAGATTTAATTTATAAACAAATACTTTCATTTTACAAGTTTATTACTTTTCACTATTTCATATGCTTCTGAAAACAATGTTAGGGATCGCAATGTCCCTTTAATTAGCTTTACACATATTAAAAAAAAAACAGGGGACACACACAAAAAAATGAATGCACACACCACTAAAAACACCATCACAGCAAAACAACGCAAGCCAGAAAGCAACAGGCCATGGACCCATTACCCAAGGTCTACTACACCTTCAGTGACTCCCACTTTTGTTCCATCCGCTGCTTTTCATACTGCATCTGACCCACCTTGATTTTCATGCTAGAAAGTTTGGCCATTAAAGACTGGTAGAGAGACAGGAGTGAAAGAAAACTACAGATAGAAAAAGACAAGCTAAGTAACCAAGAACACAGTATCAGTTTATAAAGGAGGTTAGATAACCGAGAGAAATGACAGGCTATGTTCTACCAAATTAGTTAAACCCTGATTCTTATTCAGAATTGTTGCTGTTCAGTCACTAAGTTGTATCCAACTCTTTTGGGACCTCATGGACCTACAGCCTGCCAGGGTCCCCTGTCCATGGAATTTTCCAGGCAAGAATACTGGAGTGGGGTGCCACTCCCTTCTCCTATTATTCAGAACGTTAAAGTCGCTCAGTCGTGTCACACTCTTTGTGACTCCATGGACTATATAGTCCATGGAATTCTCCAGGCCAGAATACTGGAGTGGGTAGCCTTTCCCTTCTCCAGGGGATCTTCCCAACCCAGGGATTGAACCTAGGTCTCCTGCATTGCAGGCAGATTCTTCACCAGCTGAGCCACAAGGGAAGCCCAAGAATACTGGAGTGGGTAGCCTATCCCATCTCCAGTAGATCTTCCTGACCCAGGAATCGAAACAGGGTCTCCTGCATTGCAGGTGGATTCTTTACCAACTGAGCCACCGGGAAGCCCTTATTCAGAACAATAGTGTTTAAATTCTAGATGGTCTCCAGCTTGGGGAAAAACTTTGTTCACTTGTAAAATGCCTTAAAATGTCTTCTTTATCACATTCTAGTAGAAAATGTATTTTATCTATATTATTGATCATGGATGAGTAGTGGAGCCACTTATATAAAATTTTTTGCCATTATGAAAACTTACCTTGGTAGATTTCAGCTTTTTCTCATACTGAAGTCTTTCATTTTCCATTTCACTGACTCTTAACCTCAAATCATTGATCTCCTGCATTAGGCCCTGTCCAAAAAGAAACAAGGAAATACATTAGGAAAGCAGTAAACACCTCTTTACCTACCAAAATAGCGGTTTGGAAATCCTCAGTCAATGGTTCTTGGGTTACAGCTGGATGAATGAGATTAGACAAATTGGAATGAATGAGCCTCCTTGAGAATCTTTCCACTGAATCTTCCCATGGATCCATTGAAAGATCCGTTGAATCTTTCCATTGAAAACATGGCCTCCACCCTAAAATGATGGGATTGATTACGGAAATGAAAAGTGATGATAATTTTTAAGAAAGGGACGGCGGAGCCTGGTGGGCTGCCGTCTATGGGGTTGCACAGAATTGGCCACAACTGAAGCGACTTAGCAGCAGCAGCAGCAGCAGCAACTGATCACTTGTTATCACTGAGCAAATATTTCTAGATTAAAAATCACTATATGAACTCCATCTTTTTAAAATAATCCAGAGAAATTTTCTTTAGTAAAGTCATTTACTTTTAGGGCCTTTTCAGCAATATATGGGTATTTATAAAAATATTTTTCTAATTTCTTAATTTGCCTACAAAAGATACATATTGTTCCTCAACTCAATCTGGGAGAAATGAATGAAACTTAAACACTTTATACCAAGGATTCTAAATTTGAGGGTAGATGAGAGCCCTGTCATTTACAAATATATTCAGTATCATAATATAATTTTATGTTTGGAAAAATGCAAAAGAAAGCAACCCTAATGTTTTCATAATACAATCACACACCTTCTCTACTTTTATTTTAAAAAATCTAATTTGTTTGTAAACATTGTCTAAATATTCTGAGCAATAGTGACATTTTTGTCCACGGGCCAGAGAGTAGGAAAAAGAAATTAGAATGCAAAACAATACAAAGTCATCCAGAAGGAGGACTCAAATAATCTGTGAAGACGCCTTTTCTCCAACAACAAGGTATGAAGCTTCCACCAATGGTTAACGTGTTTTTGTTCCTCTCAAGACATTTATTCCTGAGCCACAAATTCACAGGTAACAGAAAAGAATTACACGAGAATGCTATAAAAAACAAACAGAACAATGCTATTAAAGTGTAATGAGTCAACCTCACAGAGGCCAGGAAAAGGATGCTCTAGTGAAACACACTTCTCAGAAAACCTACAGGTTTTTAAATTGTAGTTTCTTATAAAATGGGGAAAAGTACTACCTAGTATTACATAATATTTATAAATATTATAACTATTAATACAATGTTTCAAAAAGAAGCTATTTTCTGTTTATGAATGACATAAATGTTTGATATCATTTAATAACATTCTAATTGTGATTAAGTTGTGATTTAGTTTACCTGTAAGTTCAAAATTCAAGTGAAAGGAAAAAGTCAGTTTCTCCCATTCATTTATCTACCACTTATTAACCACTCTTGCGTAATACGAGTTCTTAGTAATCTTCTTTAATCAATCTGGTCTTCCACAGATATATTTTCCCACTTATTGTTAAAAGTGAATTCTATTTGGATTAAAATTCTAATTGGATTGTTTCAATTCTGTTGTTGAATTGCTGACTGTTGGAATTTCTCAGCTTTGAATTCTATTTGGATTGTGGTATTTCACCACTTCCTTTAGAAATAGTGGCAATTTGTAAAGAAGAAACAAACGAAGAAAACAGAATTATAAATTGGGGTCATTTTTCTATTAAAAAAGAACTACCCAATTATCCCTTGAGGTAATACTGTAAGTATGAACAAAAATTTTTAATTTGAAAGAAGCCCTATCGTTCCATGATAACTCAAGCTAGAAAATCTGGAAGTAGCTCCTAAATATGAAACCTTAAAAAATGTAATACAAATTATTTCCAAATAATTTCTTATCAGAAGTTCACTACTTTTAAAAGTGAAAATCTTTGTTATCTTTCCCTTTTCCTTCGCAGAAAACTAGGGCTCCACAGAAGCTCATTTCTGCTATCTGTATTCTTACCAGAAGGGGGCACTGTTGAATGATGCTAACCACCTATCAACAATTCCTGGGATAGGCAAGTCCTGTCTTCCAAGGTTTCAAGACTTCTACCCCTCATCTTTTGGAAGTGCCTATACTTCTACTTCTTCCCCACACTCCACTGGTTTCTTAGAAACTAATCTCCAGATAACCTAAAATCTTAAGACAAAGTTAAAGAATTTTGGATTCATGAAACAGCCAGAGAAACATTTCAATTAAGGGGAAAAGGTAGGAAAATGAGCATATTCAATTTTAAGTTTTTTAGTTTCAATCTTAAAGACTACTTCAATTATTTTCATATATAAAAGCAGTTTATAATATCCCATAATCTCTAATCTCTAAAACGCATGCTACATCTTACCAATAGTGCTGACTGTTTATTAGAAAGTTATCAGGGATTGAAGTTTACTAGAGTTTTGGTGACAAGATCACCTCACATATGATTGAGGCCATGCATAAGTGAAGCAAGAAAACACCAAAAAGAGGTTTTACAAAAAATGCAGACAAACTCAAGAGATAATAAATATTGCTCTGGGATCTTACCAAAAAAAAAATATCATAAAACAGCTAGCTACTTCAACTTAGTCCTAATGGTTGGTTAACATCTTGTATCCAAATTAGCCACAGTGGTATGAGTTAAGACTTTCCCTAAACTTTGTATGCATAGTAAGCCCACTCCTTAATGCTTCAAAACTACTAACTTCTTTCCTGACACCAGAGTTAGCTCTACTGCACCTTATCTACCTGTTGACTGAATTCTACCACCATTTTGCACAACAGCTGTGGAGTCAGGGAAGGACAGAAAGAGAAAAGAAAAAATATTCAAACAGATTTTTAAAGAAAGCACAAAAGCAAGAATTTTAAGGAAACTAAGTAGTTTTCTAAGCTTTAAGACCTCCAGTCTCAGTTAAACGAAAAACATACTAACATAGGTGACTGATAAAGAGTTTTAAGATTAAAACGTGAGCTAAGCTGGGATTTCCTTCTGCTTCTGAGGAAGTAATACATATACCAAGACTTTCCCGTATAGTTATATATTTGACAGAAAATTTAACTTTAAATATGGCAATGGAGTATTTGTTATTTCTCTTCTCTCCTTCTTGGTGCCCATTTTGTAGCTAAGTATGACACTTCTCCATACCCAACCAAGCAAACAAAATAAAGAAAAATGAAGAGAAGTCCCTAGGAGAGAAAAAAATTTCTACAGCTCTTTATATTTCTTTTCTAATGAGTAGATTTCATATGTTCTGCACTGCACCTCCTGACAAAAAGCAGTTAACAAACCAGAAGACCTAGAGTAACAATAAACTAAGTTGAACAAACAAGAAAGCACGTTTAGCCACGAAAACGGGTACTTCAAGGTGTAAAATCTACCCTGAATTTCACAGAAGTATAATCGGCTGTATTTATTAACACCTGGAATGACTTACATGTGAAATAGACCAAAAGTAAAAGTCCAAATTAAATGACCTCTAAAATCTGTGATTCCATGAGTACATAATGAAAGCATGTTTGCTATATCTACTTAAAAATCTATTTATTATACAGTGAATAATCAATGTGCCTAAATAAGAACTATTAGTAAAGTCATGCACTTGAATCCATTATTTCCACAATGAAGAGAATCAGTATGGATGAACAGATGAACGGACAGACAGACAGATACATGAATGGCAAAGAGATAGACAGAAGCTCCAAATGTCCTAAAGTCAAAAGTATTTTTAAAGGCCGAGTGAAAGGATTAATATTTCATATCAAAACTCTCAAAATAAAAATTACTATTATCATTTAGTGATAAAAAGTCAATGCAAGCTTATTCTTAAAAAGAAGTATGGATAATGAGGGCATATAGTAATTAACTGCCTCTTCTTCACAACTCCAAGGAATTTCAACTTGTTCTAGAAATACATGTGTGTGAGATATATAAGTATGCATATATATAAATTAAAATGAAAATGTTAGTCGCTCAGTCATGTCTGACTCTGTGACCCCATGGACTATAGTCCGTCAGGCTCCTCTTGTCTATGGAATTCTCCAGGCAAGAATACTGGAGTGGGTGGCCATTCCCTTCTTCAGGGGATCTTGTTGACCCAGTGATGGAACCTGGGTCTCCTGCTTTGCAGGAGATCTCCCTATGGATTGTAACCCACCAGGTTTCTCTGTCCATGGGATTTTCCAGGCAAGAATACTGGAGTGAGTAGCCATTCCCTTCTCCAGGGATTTTCCTAAGCTGGGGATTGAATCTGGGTCTCCTGCATTGCAGGCAGATTTTTTAACTGTCTGACCAGGGAAGCCCTATATCTATATATATACATATGTGTGCATATATATGTGGTTAAGTCACTTCAGCCATGCCCAACCCTTTGCAACCCCATGGACTGTAGCCCACCAGGTTCTCTGTCCATGGAATTCTCCAGGCAAGAATACTGGAGCAGGTTGCCATTTCCTTCTCCAGGGGTGTGTGTGTGTGTATGTATATGTACATAAAGCGAGATAAAGGGCATCACTTACCTCCGTGTCTCTGAACCTATCTTCATAATCCAATCTGTCCTTCTCTACAGCTGTCAGTTTTAACTTTAAGTTAGATATTTCAGCCATCAGGTCCAACTTCTGAGTTTCTAAAGATGTTCTACTCAGAAGCTCCTATTAGGATTGAAGAGATACATGCAAAAGTTGATTATAAACAGTCATATATGGATGTGTCTTTCTTATGACAGTAAAACAGTATTATTAAGTAAAGGATGTGAAGATTAATTCTAAACAGATACATCTGGAAAAATTATTTGCTTTAGTTAACCTTCATTGAGCCAAACTAGTGTTCAATAAGCAGCACATGTCTGCTTTGTGGGAAGACATATGTTCTATTGACAAACACATATATGAACTTAAATATTCTTAAGCCTGTGATAATACTGATGATGATATTATGTTTGCTATGTGAAAGGTACTGTTCTTACATGAACTAAGTGGGTCAATCCTCAAAACAACCTTATGAGATAGAAACTCATTAGGATAACCCATGAATTATCCTTGTTCAAAGGTTGAGCCTCTTGATGAAGGTGAAAGAGGAAAGTGAAAAAGTTGGCTTAAAATTCAACATTCAAAACCTAAGATCATGGCATCCAGTCCCATCACTTCATGGCAAATAGATGGGGAAACAATGCAAACAGTGAGAGACTTTATTTTCTTGCGCTCCAAAATCACTGCAGATGGTGACTGCAGCCATGAAATCAAAAGACGCTTGCTCTTTGGAAGAAAAGCTATGACCAACCTAGACAGTATATTAAAAAGCAGAAACATAACTTTGCCAACAAAGGTCTGTCTAGTCAAAGCTATGGCTTTTCCAGTTGTCAGGTATGGATGTGAGAGTTGGACTATAAAGAAAGCTGAGCACTGAAGAATTGATGCTTTTGAACTGTGGTGTTGGAGAAGACTCTTGAGAGTCCCTTGGACTGCAAGGAGATCCAACCAGTCAATTCTAAAGGAAATCAGTCCCGAATATTCATTGGAAGGACTGATGTTGAAGCTGAAACTCCAGTACTTTGGCCACCTGATGCAAAGAGCTGACTCATGTCAGAAGAACCTGATGCTGGGAAAGATTGAAGGCAGGAGGAGAAGGGGTCGGATGAGATGGATGGATGGCATCACTGACTCAATGGACGTGAGTCTGAGCAAACTCTAGGAGTTAGTGAAGGACAGGGAAGCCTGCCATGCTGCAGTCCATGGGTCACAGAGAGTCAGAAACAACTGAGCAACTTGTAACAGTTGAGGAAGCTAAGGAACAGAGAGGTTAAGAACTTGCAGAAAGTCATTACAGCAAAGAAATGGCAAAGCACAGGACTAAACAGTCCTATTCCACGTGTAGTGTACCCGCTGTATTATAGGTCCTCTAGCAGACAAGCATCATACATGCATGTGTGCCCATATACGTTATAAATTATGTCCACTAAGAGTCATATAATGTACTTGTGTGTTAGTCATTCAGTTGTGTCGGACTCTTTGCAACCAGGGGGAATCTTCCCAAGCCAGGGATCGAATCTGGGTCTCCTGCAATGCAGGCAGATTCTTTACCATCTGAACCACCAGGGAAGCCCTTTTTCCTAATTCAAAAATATACACTCATGGTTGGAAATGAGGCAACCGTATGAAAGCATAAAGAGGAAAACTGAAATCATGGACAATCTTATTAATATTTTATTCCAGACACTAATTGCAATGAACACTTTCTATTGTGTGTGTTTGGAGACCCACAACTCTAGGTTTTTGCTTCTAATAAGCCAGTCTAAGTGAATCATAAAATTCACCACTGTATCAGAGCAAACACAACATATAAATGTAGCATCTCAAACAGGTCAGCAGGGAAACCCTACCTCTGAACATACCTGCTGCAGCATTTCCTCTGTGGCATTCAACTTCTCTCTGTGCTCTTCAAGGCAGAACTCCAGATCGCGAATCTTCTCTCCCTGAGCCTCCACTTGGTCTGTCAGCACACTCACCTGTACACAGAGCAAAATACTGTCACGGATTAGGAAGAATTTGGGTCCCACTGTCAACTTTATTTGTCTACAGAGAACAAAAACTGGGATGATGTTACCAATCATTTGGTTGTTAAAAAAAAAAAAAAATCTAAGCATTAATAAGAAACCAGCCCTTCACACGCTTATTCTTATCATGTGTGTTGGTTTGGGGATTCCTCTTCAATTTTTAAGAAAGTTCGGGCTGAACTGGGGATGTGCAACACTTTCTAGGATAAAAACAGTGCAACTCTTTATGAGAAAGAGCATGTATACAAATTATCTTTTTTGGAGGGGCCGGTGAGGATGGGAGACAGTAATAGAGATTAAGAGAGGAAATGGAGTTAATATTTGAAACAGAAGTCCTCAAGGACTAGTTAGTTCTGTTTTTTTTCCCCAAAGCGGTCCGTGGAGGGCTTCCCTGATAGCTCAGTTGGTAAAGAATCCACCTGCAATGCAGGAGGTCTGGGTTCGATTCCTGGTTTGAGAAGATCCCCTGGAAAAGGGAAAAGCTACCCATTCCAGTATTCTGGCCTGGAGAATTCCATGGACACGGAGTCGCAGAGAGTCAGATATGACTGAGCAACTTTCACTACTGACTGAAAGTGGTCTATATCATTTACTTACTGAAGTAAAATATTATAACATTATATTAGTTTAGGGTATACAGTGCAATAATTTGATACTTGTACACACTACACAGTGATCATAACAAGTCCAGTCACCATCCACCACCATACCATTGACTCCCTTCACTCATTTCAACTATCCTCTGATACCTCTCTTCTCTGGTAACCATCAATCGGTTCTCTGTATCTATGAGTTTTGTTTTTTTCATTTGTTTTGTCTTTTAGATTCCGCATATAAGTGAAAACAAGTGGTATCTGCCTTTCTCTGTCTTGACGTTTGATTTACCATAATACCCTCAAGGTCCATTCACATTGTCACAAATGGGAAGATTTCCTTCTTCTTTTATGACACAGTAGTATTCCACTGTAAATATATATATACTATATACCACATCTCCTTTTTCTTCTTTTTAACTTAAACTTTTTGCTTTGTACTGGGGTACAGCATATTAACAACGCTGTGACACTTTCAGGTGAACGGCGGAGGGACCCAGCCATACATATATTAATACATGTATACATTCTCCTGCAAACTCCCTTCTCAGTCAGGGCTATTCAATTTTGATACTTGACAAGGAATACAGAAAAGAATCCTGGGAATCCAAATTCTGTGAGGTCTTTCATGATCCCATCATCCACAAACATGTTCAAAATCCAGGATGCAGCTCAAAGGTCCAAGAGGAGCCACTAGTTTAGTCTCTCATCCTCAGTATTTAGTGCAAATCTCTGAGCTTTCCTTCCAAGGATCACCAGCCTACTAAATAAGCTTGGTTTTTTTTCTCCCCTACCACGCAGCTTGTGGGATCTTAGTTCCCTGACCAGGGATCAAACCCAGCCACAGCAGGGAAAGCATCAAATCCTAATCACCAGGCCACCAGGGGATTCCCTAGGCTTCAGTTCTTTTAGTTCAAAATACCAAAGTAAAACTCTTTGTCAAGGATTTAAAAGACGGTGAAGGAGAGGAAAACTCAAATTTAACCTACAAACAGGACTCCACTACCCACTTTGCATTGTTTGGTCCATGGCATCATTTTTCAAATTGAAAAAACTAAATATATATTCAGATTCAGAAATTCTTATTCATATTTATGAAATAGATATATGAATATACAGACACACACATATATACATATATAGTTACAAAGTCAGAATTTCTGCCATATATATGTATTTTTTTTAAAAAGATCATTTATCAGAAAATCAGATGACATTGTGGCTATCACCAAACTGGACCTTGAAGAGCAGAGGCTAAGGGCTGCTCACTCTAGACGGGGCATGCATACCCTTGTTCCGTCACAGTCCTCACCGGTCCCTAATGTGTATAGATGGCCCCGTACTTATTTCTATTAGCAGTCTGGCTCCTGTAAGCAACTGAATTTGCCACCCCAATTTAAAATGGTCTTTCTAAGTTAAGTCATGGGGGGAAAAAAGCATTTAAAAATCACTTGCCTGAAGAACGAGGGATTCTTTATCATTTTCTAAACGGGCCAGTCTTTCTTGATACACATCTCCGTTCCCAGGGAGGTGTCCATTCGTCTGAAAAAGGAAGTGATACATGTAAGCCTGACCCTCTTTAACACCGAACTACTGTGGGAAAATAAAAACTGCATATGTTTTTAATCCAAGGAACCTGAATCGAATTCAGCACAGCTGTTACTATTAATACAAAATATTAGAATGCAACATAGTTCATATAAAAACAGCAACAACAACAACAAAGCCCTTCTCATCAAGCAGAAAACCATGACCCAAAAGGGACAGTGACTCCTGAGAGTCACTGGCCGTGAATACCCACCTGAGACATGCAACGCTTTGTGAGTGTGTGGCTGGGCACAAAATCCCTCTTTCTCCTGAATGCCATGATCAGTGGGAATGTACTGAGGGGGCCTTCCATTCCTCCCCTCTCCTCTCACAGTCCCAAATCCAGGGCTGCAAATGCGAGACTGCAGGCTTCTTCCCGCTACTCCAGTCTCCAGATCACAGAACAAATGTTCCCTTTCTCCCTGAAGCACTTTTCTGTTTTTCTTTTCAAGACCTTAAACATTGAGTCCTCCACTGGCAGCACGGGCCAAGCTCACTGCCGATTTATCATGTTCTGGTACAAATGCCAAAGGAAATACAGATTGGGGGTGGAAGTGTGGATTTTTTTCTCAGCCATCTTATATGTGCAAGTGATTAAGGAGACACATTGAAAAGGCTTACAGAGTGCAGACAACATAAAAACGTCATTTTGAAACACAGTAGTATATGTGATGTGTCCCTTGGTATCTCATTTAAATAGTTCATAATCACATAATGTGTAATCCCAATAGAATTTTCTGATTACTCATTCAAATACAACAGAAATACAAACCAGTGGAGCCCAAAATGGTTAAACGGGGCCAACCAGAGTTCAACTGGAAAAGCAAATAAACCACCCCAGACTTAGAATCAGAGAAAACACACACTGTACATCCTTACTGCCCAGAACATAGCTGATGTGACAGCCATTATTTTTCCATAATCAACTGCTTTTATCATTCTACCTTTCCAATTAATGCATTTTCTAGTATAAATTCTGGAAATACCAAAAGCTATGTATTGGGAAGGAAACAAATACAAACAAAAATGGAGAAATAATGAAAAAGAAAACTGCACAGCGTTTCTTCTAAAAATATATACATCCCATAAGACCACAAGAGAATCTGAAACTAGGTAGTAAGCACGCACTATATGGGTGCAATTTTTAACATCAGCTGCTTGACCACATGCCTGCACAATAATCAGAGCATAATCACAGCCAGAACTAAATTACAAGTATTAGAAGGAGACTGATGGAGTGGCTAGGATGACTTTCATGCCTGAGGACTACCAGGAAAATGAAATTTACCTTAACCTCTTGAGGACTGTTTTTGGGGAAAGAAGCAGGATGTGTAATGCATGTTCTCAATCTGAGAAAGTTGCTGAGACTCACCCTACATGACTTTAAATCTCCCATTTTGACCATGAACATTAGCAGGCATCTGCTTTTAAAATTACACAAGCAATGCTTTATCAACAGACATGTTCTCCTGGGTAGGAAAAAAAAAAAAAAGCTTTCTGCTTAGTGGGGACAAAAAGTAAAAGTCCTCTTTCTCCTGACTGAAGGAGACTATAGCAAGATCAGAACTGTTTCTAGAGCAAGTTCTAGAAGTGTTTTTTGAAGCTACTGCCTACGATATGGAAGTAAGCTGTCCCCCAAACCAGTTCTACAAAATGATCCATTTAAAAAATACTAAAAATTGACCACAATGAGCTCATGTTTCTCAACACTGTATTTACAAGCAGTCGTAACACTCATGAGTAGTTTATTTTTAAACACTAAAATAACTTTAGGAATAAAAGACAAATGAGCCACCACAGGAATAGTTATGCACTTTTGAAGTATTCTGTTGGTATATTCAAGTAGATAAAGGTCTGTTCTGTTCACACTTAATTTCTGCCATTTTCTGTTGCCTTTGCCTCAGAAATGCTAGCAAGAGGCACATCCCACTAGGCAAACGCCCTGCTGTCTCTATTCTTCCTCCATCTGCTGCGCCCTTCCTCCCAGATCACTCCGTGCCTCCCCAGACCCGGCATGCTCTCTCAAACACTAACGCTATTCCTTCTGCGTGGACTGCATCTCCCACGCCTTCCCTCCTTGTTCCACCTCATTCCTTAGGATCCAGCTCAACGGGGGCTTCGTCTGGAATGTCTCCCAGGAGTTGCCTGGTCAGTTATATGCTAGTTAACCACACCCAGACAACCCTTTGTTGCAGCAGGCATCACACTGAATGGACTAGGCTAGACTTGACTACATGCACAATTCTCTGTACCAACAGACTCTGAATTCTTTGTACAGTCCTCTCAATGTGATGCACAGTGGGTGCTAACCGACTGCTGAATGACGGAACACTGATCGATGTTCAATAAACACCAGGCAAATAAAAGATGAATAAATGTTTGGTTTTATCCTGGGCTTCTTCTTTCTGAGCAAGGCATTTATTCACATTTCCTCTACTACCTGGTATGCACACACCATGATCACTAGCTCCTTTCCCCTCAAGTCATATCCTCTCTCCCTACCATATTTAAGAGGTGACTTCATAGCTTTTTTTTTTTTCAATCCATGCCGCAAGACTTGTGGGATCTGTTTCCTGACCAGGGATTGAAGCTGGGCCCTTGGCAGTGAAAAGTGCAGAGCCATAACCATTGGCCCTGCAGAGAATTCCCTCCAGAACCTTTTCAACGGTCAGTAATTGAGGCCCTCTTGCACGAACTCCCTCATATACTTCCTTCTTCAACACACAGTATTGCGTATCACCTCCTACATCTTCCCTGTCTTTCTTCCTGCCAGTCTTGGGAGAACTGATTCTTAACTCCTTCTTACAAGCTTACCATTCTTCTACTTTGGATCCTTGACTTCCTGTTTTCCCTGTGAATTGACCTACACTTATTGCCTCCATCCTTATCTCATCAGTTTCTTTCTCTCAATGAATTTTCATTCTCCTTTCCAAGATCTAACTCCAAGGCTCTGTGCCCACCTCCGTACCAGCTCCCACTTCTCTCTGCCTACAGAAATCCACCTTTCACAGCTGCTTCCCACCTCCTCTTTCTTATACCATGTTATTCTCTTCTCCTCTACTGAATTCTCTTCCACGTCTTGCCTTGAACTTCATGATTAGCTTTTCAGCATATTCTGCCATATTGTAAGGGAGGGCTTACAAGTGATTTTATGCATCAGTCATTTATTCTTCCTAATAGTCTTTCAGTGCTAATAGAAACTTTATTACATTTATTTTGATTCTCCCACAATGCTTATGAAATTCTAAGCCTATAATTAAAAACATATTTGGTATAAGCTCTTGCTGGGTGAACTTAACATCCAATGCATTGAAGACCAGCCAGCCCAAATTATTTTACTCAAAATCCCAGAGATGCCTTCAAAAGAACTCTTTCTAGCGCCACTCACGATGCAACCCTTTACTGACCACATTCAATCCAGCTGAGAGTTTAAGGTCAAAACTGGATCAATGTGCAGATTTTAACAATGCAGTCTTCAACCAACAGTGGGTGTGGAGGGGCGGGACTGGAACACACCAGGGAGGGCGGGGCAGGAGAGGCAGCTGGACTGTAATAGTGATACTTTAATTAAGGGACTTAAGGAGTTTGCCAGATTTTCCTGACATTATGTCAGGATGTGGAGGGATATGTCTAAAAAGCTTTACTCCTCACAGAATTATAGAATCCTACGGCTAGGCAGAAACCACACCCAAGAACGTGAATTGCCTGAATTCACATGTCAGGTGCTACACACACCATCGACTCTACCCTTCACCATCTAAATAGAGGCTCTTCTTTTTATATTAATTTCCCTGCAATCATCAAATATGAATGCGCAATCAAGTAAAAAGATGTTACAAATGTTAACGTTTTGCATTATATGAGTCTCTTCTTTAAAATGTTTTATTACAGAAAGCGTCAAATATATATTAAAAATTAAGACGACAACGACAAGACCCTTTGTTCTCAAACCCAGTTTCAGCTTCACGACAGCTGGGAGTCTTCTGTCTGTTATTTTTGTAGAACGTACCGTGTTGTGTTTTCGTCTGAGTTTCTTAGTTTTATTGGTTTGCACTGGCCTACACCTGGCTCTCTTTTCTCCCCAACCTTCACTTTTGGTTTGCTGTTCTTTCCTGAGCTCTGTTGTCCTGTAAAAATCCAAAATCAATACACCAGTCGTGCTTTGCTATGATTAAACTTATTTAGCTTATAATATAGAACTCCTTTGGAATACAGCATTCCCATACCAAAATGGTAACAGGATTAAAATGGAGAAAAGAAAATCAGTCCAATTTAATAGACAACAAATATTTAAAAAGAGTTGGATTAGCACCATCTCTTTCTCTCTCTCTCTCACACACACACACACACACACACACACACACATTCACACTCTTCTCATTCTAGCTCTCTCCCCACCAAGTAAATATACTAGCCTTTTTTTTTTTTTGGTCTAATCTTTTGGCCATACTATGTGGCATGTGGACTCTTAGTTCCTTGACCAGGGACTGAACCCGCAACCCCCTGCATTGGAAGGTGGAGTCTTAACCAGTGGACTGCCAGGGAAATCCCATAAATATAATAGATTTAAAACTGCCATACACTTATGATTTCATGATTCTATTTCTTAAAATTCAATATCAAGAAAGGAAAGTGGGGAGTCCCTGGTTGCCTAGTGGTTAGGACTCTTGGCTTGCACTGGCGTGACTCAGGCTCAGCCCCTGGTCAGGGACCTGAGAGCCCTAACCCTAACCCTCCCACAAGCCACACGGTATGGCCCCCCAAAAGAAAGAAATAAAAAGGAAGGTGTGTTCAACTAAAGCTCATTTAATTAAATGTTATCTTTAGCTGCCAAGTGATATATCTAATACAGGGTCTTTCATGTCCTAATCACAGTATTAATATTTCTACCACTGCATGCAAACATCCATTGCCTGCTTTCCACTAGAGGAAAGACTGAAATAAGACTTGAATCT